TGACTTTCTGGCACTTGCAGTCAGAGTATCAGGGTGTTTTCCTTCCCTGCATCTCTGTGGTGGGTAGATCTTGCTGGACTCTGATTCTCAGAGCCCATATTGAAATCCAACTGGTGAGCAGTGAGTCAATATGGAACCTGTCATATATTCTCTTATACCTACCTTCACCCTCCTCAGCCTAGGCCAAGGAGCTTCAGATGTGCCCCAGTGTTTGCTTTTTAGAAGAACTCACCAAAAGCCAGGCAAGTGTTGAGGGATGCCAGGACCAGAGCAAAGAGCCACATGGTGGAAGGCAACCTGCTCTGGCGCCCTGTGAGGTGGTCTTGAAGCTCTTCTGGGGTGCTTTGAATACCCTTCCTGAGATGGTGAGGTCTTGTGACCACCCCCATCCATGTGCAATCCAGTTGTCTAATCATGAGAGGAAAGGCGCTCTCACTTCTACAGAGTTCCTAGGGGTCTGATGACAACCCAGGACAGGCCCAGTCTGAATGCCAGTTCTTATAATTGTTTCCAGACTCAACTATCAGATTACTGATGATCTCAAACTGGTCCAACAACTTCTTACATAAGGTCTCTCCCTTGTGGCTCTCTAACCACCAAGAGCTTCTCAAAGGCAGGCACAGTAAATGGCACCTTCAGGCAGGGCTCAGCTTTGTTCTGAGACCCTCAGAAAAAACTGGAAGGTTTGGAGCAATGCAGAGCTCTAGAACTGCTGTCCTGGGAGTTAGCACACATCTGCAACTTCCCTGGGCTAGGGTGTCAAAGAATTCTGTGTTCTCAAGCCTGCAAGCGAAGTCAAATCTTACACAGTTCCCTTTCTGATGCCTAATTACTTTTTCATGTTCCTGCCAAGTGGCCTGGCCTGCTGCCATCTACTTCTATAGTCAGAAAACTCTGCTTTTTAGCATGTTTAGGATGAATGCTCCTATGTCAAACAAACTCCCTCTCCACAGTCTCCTGCTCTGATCATCCACCTGCCTATTCACCCATAATTCTTCAAGTATTTGTCAAAATATGTTTCCCTCCACTGTAAAATAAAATGCAAAGGTTGGGAAGGAAAAACTTCTGCTCAGGTTTAGAGCTGCCTGCACCTTTCCCCTCTTCTACATATTCCAGAGAAGACATTTGGTATTGGTTTCTATTTTTTGTTTTCTTTTGAGACAGGGTCTGGTGCTGGTCTTGAACTGCCTGTCTGATTTTCCTGCCTCCACCTCCTAAGTGCTGATATCACAGATATGTGCTGCCATACCCAAGGTTTAGTTCTGTCTTGTCTTTGTGTTGAGATTTCTATTCTTGTCCAGATCTGTCCTTCTCAGCCTAGTAACAACCTCCCAGGATCTCTGGAGAGAAGCGGTTCCTTCCTTCCTGTGCTGCCCTCTGCTGGACATTACTCAGGTCAATGAGAGTTTGTAACTTTGGCTTTGATTTATTTCATGGAACAATGGATCAACACCAACATTTGTTGTAGGTAGGGGGAGCTTTCTGAGAAAAAAGAAGTCTACAGTCATGGAAAATATAACAAGCTACTGCTTGATGAAGTGAGGAGGCTCTTTAGGGACATGTGCTTGCAGGATTTAGGAGTGATTGAAAGAGGGCCTGGCCTTGCACTCACCCCATCTGTTGTTGAAAATCTGAATGCCTGAAATCACATTGAAAGATGAAAGTACCAGTTTAAAAGTTGTTCATTAAAGTGCATCTTCTATGTCAAGGACTTTAAAGCAGTAATTTGGATAGCTTCTAGAAATTTGGAAATATGTATACTATTCTTTTCAGACAGTGAGTGATCATAAATAAGAAGTTTGGGTCAGAATTCCTGAAAACTAAAATGATAGATGTCCAGGTCTCATTCAGGAAGATTCCAGTCAGTTGGAATGGGCTCTTACCTGGTCACTGGGTTTTGGGAAAGCCTAAAACAATTCTTCAACTGTTACCCGATAGGAAAATTTTAAAGTAAGCAAGAAAACAGAAAATTGGATGGTGTTATTTATATCTGAGCACCTAGAAAGCTACCTGTGACATAGAGAACTACACTCAGGATTTGTAGGGCTGTGAATAGGAAATACACTGCAGCCGTGTGCATGGGCTGCCCGACTTTCCCTCCAGTATCTTGGTCCTTTCCCTAGGGCCATATAACATCCCTTGATTCCATGTAGGTGGGAGCAGGTACATATATCACACACCTTCCTCTCCTTAGGGGAACCCTGTTACGATAAATCTGTCTGACAAAAGCCACCAGAGCCCTACTGCCACGTGGGCGCTTTCCTCTGGCCAGCCGCCAGAGTTCTGCCAGCCGAGTTAGGGCCCCAAATAATATACAGAGACTTCTATTAGGTACAAATGCTGCTTGGACAAAGACTGGGATTTCTCATCTGTTAGCTCAGTCTTAATTATCACAAACCTATATATTTTATAAGACTTATCTTATAGAGGATGCCTTCCGCTGGCGCCCTCTCTTGCTGGTGGATCACATGGTGTCTCCAGAGCAGAGAGCAGGAGGGAGAAGGAAACTCCTACCATATTATACTGCCTCCTGTTGGTCCCCTATGGGCTGCCTCATTCTTCCACTGAAAGCCTGCTCCCCTCACCTTCAATGGCTGACCCTGGTCTAGCTGGTCTCTTCCCTCTATGACCTGAGCATTTCCAAAAATTACAACAGCACTCAAATTTGTGTTGGGATTGATTTGTTTGTGTGTAGGGTGGAATGGGGGATGGGCAAGGATAACTCGCAAGGTCTGTGACACTTTTTCTAGCTATGTGAACACACGCTGAGGACTTCGATGTGTTGGCGAGATTTTTATTCTAAATTGTCCCCCTGTTTCCTCTAGGTGTCTGTTAACCTATATCCATGCAGCCATCACATGTCCTTTCACTATGTGTTTGGTGTCCCTGTCTCCTGCTTTTGACCTATCACTATCTTTTTCAGTGCGTCTCCACTGGGAGTGAGTACTAACCACACCTCCCCTCCCCCAGAGAACTGTGTAGTCTTCTAACATGCAGGGCAAGAAGTCTTGGCCTCCGAGTCAGAGACAGGATACAACTTTCAATCAGGAAGGCAAGGCCATTGTATTAGGACTTTTATGTGGTTGGGGTGGGGCCAGGGCCAGCTTATGAGGCTGGGATCTTACTCTGGCACCAAGGAAGTCCCACGCTTTCTAATCAGCTTTTCCAGATAAGGAGCCAGAGGGGATGGTGATAGGTGAAGTTTAAAAGCCACCAGCAGTCAAAGCTCGGGAAGTGGATCCGGACTCCACATCACTCAGCACATAATTGGGCTTTGCCTTTTAAATCCCAGTCTCAAGATCTTTGTTATCTAATGTGTTTCAGGCAGTTTTATTTATAGGAATTATTCACGAGGTGAACTCTACTCATTATTTTCTGAATGTTCATTTGTTCCACGCCCCATTTTCCATGTCAGCTTGCTTTGAGAATGACAATTCCATTTTATCTCCAACACTGAATTACTATATAGACCTCTTGTGAAAAAATCTAATGCCCAGCACTATAAAAATCTTTAGCAATTGCCTTTCTGCTCTATCTGCAAGCAGCTTAGCATCAATAACATGAGTAGAAAATCACATGTCACTATAAAGTATTCTCTTCTTTGTCCCAGCTTTTCATATGTTCTTCAGCCTGTTGACCTGTGGCTCACAGAGTCTCTCTCCATCCTTTCACTTTCCACTAAAAGTAGACTTCTGGTAGATGGTACCTTGTATCCGTTGACTCAGTGTCAGTATCTGGGGGCAATCTCTTTAAAGAGATTAACTCTTAGATCAGAGTTAACTCTGATCTAATCTCAACCTTAGGAGGACCTTGTATTCCCAGTCATGGAGGTGGGGAGGGGGGTCTTCTCAGCAATCACACCTCTTTCCAGTACAGAAAGATCACTATACAGTTACACAGAACCATGTTCTATACTCTATTAAGGGACACAGAACATCACAGCTCTCCTTCCTTGGCCTCAGTGGGTCTTCACCAGAGCTCTGGGAAGAGAGGGTCTTTCCTTTTTTCTGAAGAGGTTGTATGATTTTGTTTCTTCATGTAAAACACATGTGTGGTGTGGTGTGCCTGGACCCTTAGAGACAGGCTTGGTTTTATCTTCCTATGTGCTATCAATCTTAGTCATGAATTTTGGCAGATAGCCTTTCCCTGCACTATCATTCTTAGTCATGGACACCTGGCAGAAGTTCATGGATATGAGTCAGTGATGGATGCAATCTCCCCCTGGGGTTTGTAGTTATCAGGGGTGTTATACTTTCACAATTGACAATAAGCGTCCATTAGCACCACAGTATGACAATGTTGCAGACTTGGTGGTAAATCATAAGACAATAATCACATCCCATCTTCCCTCCAATCAGCAGTCTCCCTTCAGACTCCAGCAAACATTTCCTAAAAATTTTTAAAAGGGTGTCTTTATTTTTATTTTAAAATTTCCATTCATTTTTGTATACCAACCACAGTTCCTCCTCCCTCCTCTTTCCTAGCTAACCGCACCCACCCCCACCCTACTACCATCCACTCTTCAGAAAGGGCAAGGCCTCCCATAGGGAGTCAACAAAGTCTGTTGAGGCAGGAACAACCCCCTCCCCCCATCAATACTAGCAAGGTATTACACAACATGGAATGGGCTCCAAAAAAGCCAATTCATGCACCAGGGATAGATCATGGTCCCACTGCCAGGGCCTGGATAAACAGACTAAACCATACAACTGCAGAGGGCCAGGTTCAGTCAAAAGGCTGTCTTTTTAGGTCAGCATCTCTCTTCATCCTTCTTCCTTCAATGAGCGTGGATTCATCTGTGCACACAACTCTTGATTTGACTTCCAAATGAAAATTTATCTTCCATATGAGGTACAGATATTCCCTTTCCTTGGTCACATCCTTCCCCCATTATTCAGGCTTGCAGTTTCCTCTGTAAGATCCATGCTTTGGGAACACCATCTTTTGTAGAATAGCCCCATCTTGGCTTCTCTGGTCCTGAGGCTGGTAGAGACTACTGTTCATAGCTCAGTGTGTTCTGTTTGATGTGCCTTCTTAGCCAGGAGTTCAGTCCAGAAAGCAACTTCCTCCCCTTTCAGTCTCTGGGCTTGCGGGGTGGTGGCTCCAATCTGCAGGTACCCTTCCTTCTGATCATACTCTGGCCAGTGTGGCAACCCCTTCCCATTGGGATTCCTGGGAACATAATCAAATAAAATTCCTCAAGACTGCTATGTGGCCCTCCATTTCTCTGAAGTTTGAAAGGATCTCTGGCTTATCTCATTTGAAAGGCAGACAACCTCCACAGACAGAGAGCTTACATCTTTTGGGACAGCCAATTGATTCTAGAAAACTTTTGCCATAGAGCATTATGGTCAGGGCTTTCATCACTCTGACTTGAGAAGTCACCCTTTCCAAAAGTTTGCCCAACTACACCCTAGCCACCCTTTTCACCTTTGCCACCAGGCTCACCCATTTCTAGCAAAGTTGACCCAGTATTTCATCACCATCTTGCTGAGGTTGGTCTCCTCTTCTGAAGTGCCCCCTGTTGGGAAGGTGAAAAGTTTTTGTTACTCAAAGTATGGACCAGATGAAGCATTCTTTGGAAGCTTGTTAGAAGTGGATCTACATACTCACTCTTCAACCACTCAGTCAAATCTTTCAGTGTGAAGATTCTGGTTAATTACTGTGCACATTCAGGGAAAGACTGATAAATGATTCAGCAGTGGGATGTGTGTGCCCATGAGCCAGCTGCCTTTACTGTCCATGTTCATCTGCCTATCCCTCCTTCCCCAGGGTCAGAATGCCATATTCCAGACTGTCCTCTGCTTTGGGGAAGTGCATCTGTGTCTTTTCTCAGTCACTCAGGCACAGTACTATCCACAGGCTCTAAAAGATACCTGAACTACAAAGACTGATGAGCATTCCAGCTAGGAAATGCCCAGGAAGAGCCCTGCAGTTCATTCATGAACTTATGCAAGTGTGGAGAGATAAGGCCCTGTTCACATTTGTGAAAGCCTTTCTTTAAATTTCATGTTGTGGGACTGGAGAGATGGCTCCTTGGATCAAGGCACCTGCCACAAAACATGAGAAATCTGAGTTGTATTACTGAAACTCACAATAGAAGGTAGGGAACTATTCCCAAAACTTGTTCTCTGATCTACACACACACACACACACACACACACACACACACACACACACACACACACACACACACGCGCGCACACACACACACACACAATTTAAATATGTTAATCAATATATCATAGATTCCCTAGGAAGATGCCACCTACCTCTCTAGGAAAGGGAAATAGAATAGATAGTTATGGAAAGATGGGGGAGGGGCCAACAAGCTGGGAGATGGACCCCCAACTGACCATCTCTTATCACTAAATGAAGCTTACAGTACTGGGATTGGGTTACATCTAATTGAGACACTGGCCAGAGGTCCCATGGAAAACCCCAAACAGCCCATGTTGTCATCAAGACAATAGGTTGCTCTCCACAGCTGATGGCATGCTCCATTGCTGAAGACATCACCTACACAACTCATTGAACCTGGATAAGTGGAGCTGGTGCCTGCATAGAGACTTCACCCCTACATTCTAGTGCCTTTGGTACGGAAAGTACTCTGCACACTCCCAAATGAGCAATGTAAACAAGGTAGCCACAAACCCTTTGATCTACAATGGTGTCTTGCCTGCAAGATTCCATAAACCTTATTCCAGTAACCAACCAATATGTGATTTGACATAAGTCCCACTCCAGGAGATAGAGTCCATACCAGACACTGCTTGAACGACTGAGAACCTAAGACTAGATATCCCAGAGACCAAGGGCAAAGTCTAATGCTACTGTTGCAAAAAATAAATAACAATTAAAAAAGGTAGCAATAAGTTGACTCCTAATGACATTGTTCTAAATTCATATAGCAGTATCTTGCTCAGCCATCATCAAAGAAGTTTCCTCCTGAAGATGGGATCGAATGCAGAGACCCAAGCCAGACAGTAAGTAGAGGTTGTTTTGTGGGAAATCAGATAGTAGTATTCTAATACTAGATCAGGGAGTTTTGGGTGGGTGATCTACAACCTCTTTTCTGGATCCATAGATCATATTCACAGAATGCCCATGACAGGGACACATAAGCCATCTTTATGTGTGTTAGAATAAGGGAAGGTTGGGGACTGCCTACTGTAGCTCCGTTCTGCCACAGAGTGTCAGGAAGAGAGCGCCATCAGGAGAGGAGGAGAAACTTGCTGAAAATCTCTCAACTAAGACTAGGACCCACTCCTCCTGACTCCCAGATCACACCCAACATAGAGCCAATACCTTTTAAAAATGGAGCCCCAAATACAGAGAAGATTTCATCACCGTGGTCTCCTATCACCATCTTGGGTCTCTTTTCAGATACGAAGCTTGGCCGATATTGAAACTACCTACCTACCTGCATCTGAGGAGACATGGATTCATGCACAGTTCATGTTAGTAGACAGACACCAGGGTGGCACTGAGGTTTCCATCCCTCAAGGAAACTGCTGTTTCTTAGTGCAGGAGAGAGGCAGCTTCTGGAAATCCCAGTGATTGCTTTGTGTTTGCACAGCTGTTTGAAGTAGAGCTGGGATCTGAGTCAGGTGTTGACAGAATGCAGAATGAGAGGATGTAATTCGGTCAGTGAGTGCTTGGGTGCGTTCAGTGACAATACACAGTGCCTGCTCATTCTGGAGAAATCAGCACCTAGTCAGCCTGGTTGTGTGCATCCCCAGTGTTTTCCTCAATCATTCAGCAGAACCATGAAAATCCAATTGCTTGTTGAAATAGGAGGGTATTTAATATAAACACCTACAAATGTATACAAAGACAAAAATCTGCCTTTGGATTTAAGGAAATCACTAAACTTGAAGTTCATACTTCTGTCACCTGCATTACCTTGTTTCCTGCTTGACCTGGAAGAGCTAAGATCTTAAGATATTATAGTGGAGAAAACAGGTATACTTTTGCCCATCTCTACCATCTCCTCTCACCAGCAAAGATGCCTGTTCAAGCCTGAAGAAGTGACTCTTTTTCATGCTGGGTGCATCATTGGAGACACCTGATTTTTTAAGGATACCACTCACTTGGATGAGCCACCAGCCTGGGAACTCTGCCACTGTCCAGTAGATATCTACATAGATAAGCATGTGTATATCTGGTGCTATACTGTTTACGATTTGTTAAATACACCTGAGATCAAAATAACAAAGCAGCCATTTAGTTCACCATAGGAGACAGGCAGTAGTGGCTCACATCTTTAATTCCAGGACTCAGAAACCAAAGACAGAATGATTTCTCTTAGTTCATATCTACCCAGGGCTACACAAGCTTGAATCAGTCTAAAAGAGTAATGGAGTTCATGCCTTTAATCCCAGGACTCATGAGAAGTATTTAAAACAGGAACAGGAGCTCAGAGCTGGCAATCATTCTCCAGCCACATTGAGGATAGGAAGGCATTGATTCTCCAGAAAATCTGAGGCTTTGTGAGGGCTTTTTGCCTCTCAGGATAAGTGGAGACAAGATTGCTATTTCATTTGCATAGAGGTAAGACATACTGGCTTGGCTCCTTTGCTTCTCTGATCTTCAGCTTGAAGCTTAAACCCCAATATTTGTCTCTGGGCCTTTTATTTTTCATACAACATGTATGTGCATGTGAATGGGTATATGTGTATATATATACACATAAACAATACATATGTACATAATATATATGCTCATAAATTTGCATATATGTATGGATGTATGTGTATACACTGGACTGAGAAGTGGACAAGGTAGAGACTTGTTATTGTCTATGTCCTTCCATTCCACACATAAGACTCACCTCTGAGGCCACGGGACATGAGAACAGATGGGATACCCACAAATACATCTCCAAACAGGTCCAGTAGAAGGTCTTTCTTTTTGACAAGGTCATCTGTTTGTCCCAAATACTTCTCAGTGACTGCTGGAATCATATTCTCAGGGATGTTCTGAAACAGATCAGAAAGTGACCACCTGCAGACAGTTAACAAGACTTCGTGGCTTATAAACCACCCAAGTTCTGTGCCAACCAGCTGGTTATACCAGGGAGGATCCACTTGCAGTATGTTATAAACTTTGAGTGTCAGGCATCTGAAAATTATGTTTTCTCCCATCATGTGGGAGAAAAGATCCTTTTGCTTGACAGCTTGGACACTGTTGTCTAGTGAATGCTATCTTCAGCTGTTTTTAGAGGAAATTGCTGTTCTCTGTCTCCCGTGGAGAGAATTAAACCTCCAGTGTCTCTCCCTGTTCTCTATGGGGAAAGACACTGTGAATCCCAGCAAATAGCTTTAGAGTAAGCTATTCCTAGGAAACGAAAGGAAGTCCATGCATCAGAAAAGAAGGAAACCTCCAGTGTGCAGCAGCCACAGAGCTCACCTATCTGATTTGCCTTCTAACTACTAGGTCTTAGGCCTCCAACATGTAAATCTGATGGTCTTTGTTGGTTATAGAATCAATATTTTCTGAGTATAAACTCTCCAAATAGCTTATTATCCTGGAAACTTGTCCTGGACATATGGGAGTGTTTGATTGGTGAACAATGACTGTGAGTTTATTACACTGGGGTGCAAAGTGGAAGAGTAGAAAAGTTGGAGGTGAACCCCAGTCACCACTATTGCTTAGAGCCATTGAATTTGTCTGTGATTAAAAGAAGGCACTGACTGACCTTTGTTTCCCAACCAATTCCCATGATTCCCAAGAGCCTTACAAGGACAGAGTGGAACTTCCACACGAGGGAACTGGCCATTTTCTCATCCATATTTTCTTCAGAGAATAGATCAACTATCATCTGTTAAACAAATAATAAAACATTTATGAATCCCAGGAAATTAAGAACCCAACAGACTAACCAAGGAAACCAAATGGAACAATGGAACTAAGATGCTTGATGTACTTGGGGGTGTTAACAGACGTGGTGGTTTATGTTCTGAAAAAATGAAATCAACAAACAAAACAAATGGACCTCCATAAATAAATCTAAGCAATACAATCAAGTGAGTCTATTTATTACATTGGAGGAACAGTGTTCCTCTAGGCAGTGGAACATTCAGGCCACAGTCAGGTAGAAGCTGAGGACAGAGGACACACCTCTTCAGATTCAGGTGACAGGGAAAACAAAACCAAGTATTATGTCTGTAAGTATGTCTCCCTGTGATGCCCTCTGAAGTCCTTCTGTGTGAGAGCTGCAGGACTCTGGGATGTGCTGACCTGTCCAAGTTTGCACTCAGAACTCTGGTCTGGTTTCATCATGTCTTTGAGGGCTGGTTTCAGCACGACTTCTAGTACTGAAAACCAGTCCCAGGATGATACCAGGGACAAAGATGCCTGCTTGGAGAGTTAAGCATTGCAAGTGGAAAGCTTGTGGTGGGCAGATAGGGCCCCAAGCCCTATGTTCAGTAGTTTCTTTAGAAGGCTTTCAATTGCTTATCCTCTTCTGCCCCAGGAGGAATAAATTGGCACTCTAAAGGGCTTCATCAGGGACTCTCAGTGCAAATTTACTTGGAAAGTTTTAAGCTTATTTGAAATGTAGTTTATTCGGGTATATAACCCTTGATCAGCGCAGGGAGGATGCTGGCTGAGCCCCTGTGGATTGCATCTAAGAGATCTGTACATTCTCACCATTGGAGCCATCCAGCCAAACACTTTCTTGTTGATGCCCACCATGTAGGGGACAGTGTTGAAGCTCTTCTCAGCCAGGATCTCTTCTGGAGTCTTTGGCAGCAACACTCCATCTATCACAGTGGAGGGATTTTCCTGGGGAAAATAGAAATACAGTGCTTATGAACACCCTACCCTAGGTTTCCTCCATATGTTCCCTTTTTCCTGGCATGAGAGTTTGCCAAGCATAAAAGCCCTTGTGATTATGGCCACAGAAACCCAGTATGCTAAGAACGATGGTTCATTCTGCTTTCTTTTTGTTGGATCTTTAGTATCAAGTTCATATTATTCTAAAATATAAGGATATAATCAAAATCTCTGTTAATAACCCTAATAGTAGTCACAAAAGCAAAATCTATAGTGGCTAAACCATGAGGAATTAGTGAGGAAAGAAAACATGCTGGGTAATATAGCATATGGTAAATCACATCAGGCAGAATTCCCTTCCTCTGAGTTCTATAGTTACTCCCACCAATCTCTGATATTACCGCCCCTACACAAACTACACTCACACTTTGCATCAAGGCCTGCTTTTAAAGAACCACACACAAGATGTCCTGTTGGGCATCTATGACTCTTTTATTAGATGTCTGCATATTAAGGATTGTCATGTTTTCCCGGTGAGGTGACTCTTTAGTCATAACTAATAGTCTCACTTTTTCCTCTATACTGTATTAATTTTCCAGAATTAATGTTGACACTTGATTTTCTCTTTAAGTTTCTATAGGTTGTGTCTGGTACATTTCTTTTACTTTTAACTTATCTAGAACTCAGTGTGTTGTATTTGCATTGCTTTAGAAGGCATTGTTGATGTACACACACACACACACACACACACACACAAATACTGAAAACAGTTTTCTTAAGGCACTCTAGAACTTTGTGAGGGGCAGGACAGGTCTTGTTAGCAGTTTCAAAAATCTCTGGAAGGGACACTGGCCAAAGTGCCCTATGTGGTTAAGGAGGGGGATTTTGCATATTCTGCTGGCACAAAAATAAGAATCTGTCTTGACCACAAACTTTTCTAGAGAAGTGGGGAAGGGATGAGGGTTTAGGGAAACCAAATATCTCTAGCAGTCAAATATCAAAAGTGGAGTCAGACTCATTACAAGTTACATCACTGGGTTGCAAGAGCATAATTGGTCACCATTTGGGAGAGCCTTGACATTTCCCTATTCTTTGATAACAAGACACTCAATCTCTTCAGTTGTATAATTATGCTGTTAATGATAATTTTGAAAATTTATCATTGCATGGCTCTAACTAACTTAGTGCTTTCCCATGCTTTTGTCTTACACTAGAAGTAGCACATGACCACTCTCCAGCATGGCATCTATTACAGCTAGGAACATCTCTCTCTGTTTGGATACAGTGATGTGTTGATTCGCCACCACAAACTTCATAGCCAAAGGCACCATAATTCACAATGGAGAAGCCTATCTACCACATGTGTTGTTTTCATAAGGTTCCTCACAGGCTGCTGTGCTTGGGGACACTGGACACATAAGCATCACTGTGCTTGAAAGCATCTTAAACAGAAAAAAATGGCCACTTAAAAATACTGTAGAAGTGGCAACCAAATAGACCACAAAAAAGATGTATGTGAGTCTGGAAGATGAGAGAGGAAGATAAAGTCATACTCCAAATTGAAGGTGTGGGTGTAGATTTCACTACACCGAAGATAAATGATAAATGGGTGTTTATTGGGGAACACTTACACAGATAAATATAAAGAACCATGGGAGTGCTTCTCTGCCCTTCCTATTGGATCAGCTGACCCAAGAGAAAGGACTGTGCAAAAGCAAGCCATGACTCAAGCTTCCCTCTTTCTGCTTCCATCTGCCTGAAGCCACGCCCAAAGGGGTGTGGCCACCATTACAGGTTCTCTGGCAAGACCGGTGCACCAAATGGGAATGCTGGGACCTCATGACTCAGACTTGCTTCAGACCTTCACCTGCTCTGTGTGAATGTTCATGGGAGCATAGAAATCCCACAAATGTTGGTTTGAGCATTATTAGTGCACATCAGCAAATAAGTTAACTCACAAATGTAGCATCGGTAACTATGTATTTATAAATATTGGAAATGAACTATTTCAAAAATATTAAAAGAAAACATTTATATGGGTGTGTGTATCTGTCGTGTGTGTGTGTGTGTGTGTGTGTGTGTGTGTGTGTGTGTGTGAATGCTCATGGAGGCCAGAAGAGTGTATAGGATTCCCTGGAGCTGATGTTACAGACAGTTAAGAGCTGCCCAATGTGAGTGCTAGGAACTGGTTCTCTGAAAGAGCAGCAAGCTTTCTTAAATGCTGAGCCATTGAAATGACCTATTTAAAAAATATATTTGAGCAGGTTGAATAGAGACTAATTGTAACCAAGGGCTGCACAAACAATGGGCAGAGAGAAACAGGATGGCACAGGTGTGGATTGGAGGCTGAAATGTGACCATAAACCTGAATTGGAGATTTTCCAAAGTGTTCAAGGGCTTCCTCCATCACAGCACTCCACAATGACACTGCAAGAATGCTGCTGTAGAGAGGCTGGCAACCAGGGAAAGCATAGCTGTGAATAGAGACAAATCAGACCAGGTCAAGCTGTGAGCCAGAAACTGAAATGCCACACCAAAAAGCCTGGAGCATAGATTCTCTGAGTGCCTGACTGCTCAGGCCAGTGATACCCCATGGGCAGAGAGACTTGGTATCAGCAGAGGCAGCAAACAAGGAAAGGCAATGGAGGGACACATGAGCCTGAACCTGTGCCCTAGGGAGGGTCCTATCACTTCTTAGGCAAGTGAGACATAAACTGGGCAGCTAAAGTACAGAACTCAGCACAGCTGTGGCAGAAACTCAATACAAAAGACAGTTTGTCTAAACTGCTCTAGGAACCTGTTGTCTCCCAAATCAAGTCTGGCAGGTTTGAACTGGAGCTGCTGTGCACAGGCACAGCCTCTATATGACACTTCACAGGGAGACGGGGAATGCAAAAGATATTTCATCAAGGAAGATTGCAGCTGTGGCCCTACTATACTTTTTAAACTCTATTGTACTTTTTCTCATTTTGTGTTTTATTTTGTTTTTTCGTGTCTTCCTTCCTTCCTTCTTTCCTTTCCTTCCTCCTCCTCCTCTTCTTTACTTCTTCCAGGACAAGTTCTAATATGTGTTCCTGGGTGGCTGACAATTACTACATAGACCAGGCTAGCCTTGAAGTCTGCCTGCCTCGTCCTCCTGAGTCCTGGGATTAAATGGCCTTATTTTGACACAACTCTAGAGTCAAGACCCCCTCCCACTTAGGACTACCAACAGGCACCACATAAAGCATTAACCATGGTATGAGGCCTATCCTAAGGCTCATTCCTGGTTACTGTCACTTATCAGAGCATCTCCTTCTGGAAAACATTGTAATAGACCCCAAATTTACTGGGGTTGAACACTACAAGCAGATGAAGGGGATCCAGATTGGTCAACATAAAGTCACTGACCTTGTCTTTCCCAAGTGCATGGTCCTGTGAAGCTTTGTTGGGTGTGGAGGTCCTTTCTGAAGAGTCTGCTGCCTCCTGCCTGGAGCTGTCTCTAAACATCCTTCTTAACCAGCCCAAAGGGGTCCAAAGGCCTCTTCTTAACCTGGAATATTATTTGTTGAGATCTCCTCTGGAAGAAGAGTCTCTCTGGACCTTCTCTTGAAACCCTGCTTCCACAAGGTTACACTTGCTATGAGGACTGATTATTCTTGAGGAGCTGGTTGTATACCTGCTCATGCTCTTTCATCATGCGTGCTGGATTAATCCACTGGGTCTACAGCCCCAAGCATTTTCATCTGCAGGACAGGGCCATATGTATTGACTTGATTTTGCTGATTAGCCTGGGTTAGATGGTCTAGCCTCTAGCCAGTTCCACTCCCCAAAACATTTGAAGACAGCAACTCCCAACAGTTCTGGAAAGCAATTATCAGAGGCTGTATGTACTTATAACAATTTTATTGTTCACCATCACAATCATCAATACAAAACCAAGTGGAGGCTAATTTCACAAGTTTTTTTTTTTGTTTTTGCTTATAAGAAGAATTTCTGTCCTGGTTCAGATAATCATAGTCAAATAAAATTTCTATCTAAAAATCTACAGCTGTATTAATAAGGATGGCAACTGTGTATTAATTATAGTTTCATAGCAGTCACAGAATAAGAAATGGACAGGAGCTGAGGTGTATACTCTACCCTAGACTTTTATGCTTGGAAATGGGGGTTGGACATTTATTGGACATGTTCCTTTGTACCTCAGATTCACTGATTATTGAAGTCTGGGCACTTGCAAAAGTGCCCAGACCTCTGGTTTGGGGAGTATACCAAAGTCTGAGGTTAGGCTGCACATGAACAGAAATATGATCTTCTTGTCCTTCAGTGGCTGGTAGTGTTCAAGGGTGGTGGCGTTTCCATGGTTACCATGCGCATGTCCATGTCATGGGGTCAACTTCTGGGAGGGTTTACACTTCTGTCTTTGTGGATCTCTTTGATTCTCCCAGGATAACCTTGGGCAACTCCACCACCTGGGATGTAATCCTTCCCTTTTCCTGCCAAATAGTTATCTTCTTCACTCAATTATTGAAGGGAAAGTTCTTAATGGCCCACTTGACATGGCCACAGACACAGCAGCATGGGCAATAGCCTTGGCAATGTTGGCCTTGCTGATCTTGGCAGGTCCATAGGGTTCAACCATGTGGTGTTTCTCCTTCCAGAACCCTTCTATCACCATCCTATTAGAATGCTGGGTCATAGCCATTCAGTTAAAAGAGTCCGTTGGAATGCCACTCACTTGCCCTTTTATACCCACAGCATGGCTAAAAATAAACCACAAACATTTTAATCTCACTGGCTATGAGTTGGGGCAATACAAATGATGTCATTCTACAATTATCCTGCCTTCTAGATGCTTTCATCTTTCCAGAGCATGAAGCCTTCCCTACCCGGGACTCTCCAGAAGGAGAGAAGTCACACCTTCAACTATTTGCTCTTTTGCTCACTTGGACTGGCCCCACAAGAAGGGAAAATTAAAATGTGAGGTATACACACATCATTTATATGATATGTAAGAATAAAATGATGTGCTTTACAAAAAATGGAACCAGAGAACAATATATGAAGTTATGTAATCAGATGAAGAAAGACAAGTATCAAAGTTTGAAGCATAAATGGTTGTCTTGAGAATTCAATACCCACCTTTGATTGTCATACTGTTACATCAATATCTGCTATAGTGTAACTGCAATATTACATGAAATTTTAAATTCTGCCTCACACTTTTGGTGCTACTCTGTCTGCCTTGCTTTCTCACCTCCACAGAGTCTTTCCCCCTGGCACACCCAACTCTGGTTTCTGCCAGTTGGTACAGGATATGTACTGAGTCAGCACCAGTTCTCTAGTCATTGTTACCTTAGGACCCTGGGTGGTTTGGTCTTAGATACATAGTCTTTAAGTGACCCTGTTTCTCATCAGCTGTAAAGTCTCTCTGATGACTTGGTCCAGAACTGTGTCCTGTCCACATGATGGGTTACAGAACTTTACAATATTTTTCCTCTGGGGGAATAAGCCTTCGTGTGGTATCTAAGCATTCCCCAAAGTGTATGGAGTACTGATCCTTCATGGAAATGGGACAGTGCTGTCCCATATGCCCAAATGCCACATACACATTCTATAGAGGTCTTGCTACATGTCCCCAGACTTTATTTCTGAAGGCTTGAAGAAATCCACGGATAAATCTGTGCAACCCCCTCCTTGGGTCTGTGGTCCCCAGCAATTTTGCATTCTTAATAGATCACACATTGCCTCTAACATTTAGAAAACTCTCCAGCCTTTGTCTTTTTATTATTAAAATGTCTCCCTGGAGGGGGAATGTGAGACATGTTCACATCTGTTGTGACAGAGTGACCCCTTTGCACAACAGCACTTACCCTCTTGATCAGAGAGTCTAAGAATGTCTGCAAATGACTCTTACGAGACCCTTTAAGAGAACATTCTCTTGTAGAGAAGGCTTGGGGAAGGTCATTAGAACCTCATCCATAATTCCAGCCACTCTATCTGGACTCCCATAAAGTACAGTTTACATCTATGCAGTGATGGGGACTTCTTCTACAACAGGAAGGGCATATTCATAACTCAATTGCTTTCTAGGTAACCTTGGAGGTAACACCTCACCTATGATCCAGTCAATGAGCCAGATACACTCACTCACTGGTTAGTCAAGGTGGGCTTGGTAGAAATAGTTCACTTTTCTTTTGTTCTTTCTCTATCTGGGTGAGTAGATGCTTCTTCATGTCTTCCATAAAGTATTTAAACAACATTGCATGTGTCATTGTTTGTCTTTCTTTAGTTCTCTGGGCAATCATTTCTCCAGCCATCTCCTATAGTGACATCTTTTTTGATGGTTCTCTCTTCATTTATGCTTCTCTGGAGGCACAAAGATTATTGTTGAGCTAAAGACGATATATACATTAGATTTCTATAAGTGTGATATTGACCATGACTAAAAGTAATTTGAAGAGGAAAGGTTTATTTGGCTTAATATCCTGAGTTACCGAGACCATGCTAAGTACTATAGAAACAACCACCCATTTCATCCTCACCACAGTCCAGTGAGGAAGGTACTAATGTATTCCTATTGTCCCAATTCATGATCCAGGCATGCACAGTAGAAGGGCCTTGCCCGAAGGAACAGGGCGCAGAAGGGCTGAGTTAGGCTTTAGTCCTACATGCTTGACTCCTAGTTTGAGGCCATTAAAACTCTGCTGAGTCTCTCTCCATATTGACCAGGGCTAGCTAGAGTCAGTCCTAAGACACAGCTTAGAGATCCCTTAACACCTCACACAAAGGTAAGGGGTTATCTTCACAACTTTCTGGCACTTGCAGTCAGAGTATCAGGGTGTTTTTCCTTTCTGCAAGTCTGTGGTGGGTGGAGCTTGCTGGGCTCTGATGCTCTGAGCCCATATTGAAATCCAGTGGGTGAGCAGTGAAACAATATAGTAATATACTCTGTTATGCTCACCATAACCCATCTCAGTCAAGAGCTTCAGATGTGCCCAAGTGTTTGCATTTTAGAATAACTCACCAAAAACCATGCAAGTGCTGAGGGATGCCAGGACCAGAGCAAAGAGGCACATGGTGGAAAGCCAGCTGCTCTGGGGCCCTGTAAGGTGGCCTCAAAGCTCCTCCGGAGAGCTTCTTATATACATCCATAGATTGTGAGGCCTTGTGACCACGCCCATCCATGTGCTCTTGATCTACTCTAGTTGGGAATTCCTACATACATAAAACATCTTCCTCTCTTTTGGAGAACTCAACCACTTTATACCACCTCCTGGTGTTGTTGTCCCTTGTAGTTTGTCTAATTCTTTAAATAAAAGCCTGCTCTGCTCACAGCAATGACTGAGCCCTGATCTATTCTGTCTCTTTCCTCCATGACCTCAGTATTTCCTGAAATTACAACAGCAATCAAAGTTGTCTTAGGATTGATTTGTGTGTGTGTGTGTGTGTGTGTGTGTGTGTGTGTGTGTGTGTGTATGTATGTATGTATGTATGTATGTATTCTGTGTTTGTATCTTGCATTCAAAGATATTCACTACACAAGGCCTTTGTGACACTATGGGTATGGAAACACACACTAAAGACTACCTTGTCTTTTGGTGAATAGATCCGATTTTTATTCTTCAATGTCCCCCTGTTTCCTCTAGGTGTCTGTTAACCTGATATCCATGCAGCAATCACATGTACTTTCACTATGTGTTTGGTATACCTGTCTCCTGCCTTTGAGCTATCACTATTTTTTTTTCAGTGTGTCTCCACTGGGAGTGAGTACTAACCACACCTCCCCTTCCCCAGAGAACTGTGCAGTCTTCTAACAGGTATGGCAAGAAGACTTGGCATCGGTGTCAGAGACAGGATACAACTTTCAATCAGGAAGGCAAGGCCATTGTATTAGGACTTTTATGTGGTTGGGGTGGGGCCAGGGCCAGCTTATGAGGCTGGGATCTTACTCTGGCACCAAGGGAAGAAGTCCTAGGCTTTCTAATTGGCTTCTCCAGATAAGGATCCAGAGGGGACGGTGATGGGTGAAGTTTAAAAGCCACCAGCAGTCAAAGCTTGGGAAGTGGATCTGGACTCCGTATCACTCAGCACATAAATGGGCTTCGCCTTTTAAATCCCAGTCTCAAGATCTTTGTTATCTAATGTGTTTCAGGCCCTTTATTCAGAAGAATTACTCATAAGGTGAACTCTACTCATTATTTTCTGAATGTTCATTTGTTCCACGCACCATTTGCCATGTCATTTTGGTTTTATAATGACAATTCCATTTTATCTCCAAAACTGAATTGCTATATAGGCTGCTTTTAAAAAATTCTAATGCCCAGCACTGTAGAAAAAAATCCTGCCAGGCTTTGGTGGCATATGTCTTTGATCCCAGCACTGAGGAGGTAGAGGCAGGCAGATCTCTGTGAGTTAGAGGCCAGCCTGATCTACAGACTTAGTTCCAGGATTGGTTCTAAAGCAATAGAGAAACCCTGTCTCAAAAAACCCCAAAACATAAAGAAAAACCAAAACAAAAATCTTTAGTGATTGCCTTTTGTAAATAATACCAGACCTTTAGATATTACATGTTCTACCTTCAAGCAGCTTAACATCAATTACATGAGCTGAAAGTCCTAAGTTACTGTAAAGTATTCTCTTCCATGTTTGTCCTGTTTTTTCATATGTTCTTCAGCCTGTTCACCTGCCCCTCACAGAGAGTCTCTCTCCATCATTTTCACTTTCCACTACATGTAGACTCCTGGTAGGTGGTACCTGGTATCTGCTGAATCAGTGGTAGTATGAGGGGACAATCTCTCTAGTGTTTGGGGAATTCCATCCAACAGCCAATTGTATTGGATGGCTTGGCCAAGTGGGCCTGGTCTTTTCTGGGAATAAGTGACTGGATAAAAACAGAGGGCATGGGTCTCTTGCTCTCTCTCTTGGACTGTGGAAGATTCTCTGGAATCAGCTTTGGGCAACAGATGCTTGGTGACCTTCCCTGGACCTCCGCATGTCCCTTGGGAATGAGAGGATCAGTGCCGAGGCAGCAGCACATTTGCAGCCTTCTGTATTGTGAGAGTACTTTTCATTTTGTACCTGTTTAATAAACCAGACTTAATCACAGCGATCCACTGCTCTTTACTTTAACTCTGATCTAATCCCAACCTTGGAGAGACATCTTGGAAGTAGGGTCTTCTCAGCAACCCTGCCTCTCTCCAGTACAGAAAGATCTCTATACAGTTACCCAGAACCAGGCCCTATACTCCACTAAGGGGCATAGACCATCACAACTTTCCTTCCTTGGCCTCAGTGGGTCTTCACAAAAAAGGGGTCATCCTTTTTCTGCAGAGGTTGTATGATTTTGTTTCCTCATGTAAATGAGTTTGTGTGTTGTTGTGTGCTTGGACCCTTAGACACAGGCTTGGTCTTACCTTCCTATATGCTATCATTCTTACTCATGAATACCTGACAGATAGCCTTTCTAAGTGCTATCATTCTTAGTCATGGACACCTGGCAGAAATTCATGGAGATGAGTCAGTGATGGATGCAAACTCCCCCTTGGGTTAGTAGTTATCAGGCATTTTATACTCCCACACTTGCCAACAAGTAGCCATTAGCGCTGCAGTGTGACAATTTTGCCCACTGAGAGGTAAATGAAAAGGCAATAAATCACATCCCACTTTTCCTCCAATCAGCTGTGTCCCTTTAGATTCCAGCAACTAGTCTCCAAACTTTTCCCTAAAAATGTTTTTCTTTGTCATCATTTCTCTTCATCCTTCTGCCCTCATGAATGCAGATTCATCTGTGGACCAAGGCACAATACCTGACTTGATATACAAAAGAAAATTTATTTTTCATATAAGGTACAAATATTCCCCCTCTTTGGCCCCATCCTTCCCCCACTATTCAGTCCTGCATTTTCCTCTGTAAGATCCATCTTTTGGGAACACCATCTTTTGTGGAATACCCCAACTTGGCTTATCTGGTCCTGAGGCTGTCAGAGACTCCCATTCATAGCTCAGCGTGTTCTGTCCGAGGTGTCTTCTTAGCCAGAAGTTCAGTCCAGAAAGCAACTTCCTCCCCTTTCAGTCTCTGGGCTTGCTGGGTGGTGGCTCCAATCTGCAGGTACCCTTCCTTCTGATCATACTCTGGCCAGTGTGGCAACCCCTTCCCATTGGGATTCCTGGGAATATAATCAAATAAAATTCCTCAAGACGGCTATGTGGCCCTCCTTTCCTTTGAAGTTTGAATGGATCTCTGGCTTAACTCAGTTGAGAGGCAGACAACCTCCACAGACATTGATTCTAGAAAACTCTTGCCATAGAGCACTATAGTCTCACAAAATGGTCAGAGATTTCATCACTCTGACTTGAGAAGTCACCCTTTCCAAGAGGTATGCCCAACCACACCCTATCCACCCTTTACACATTTGCCACCAGGCTCACCCATTTCTAGCAAAGTTGGCCCAGTATTTCATCACCATCTTGCTGAGGTTGGTCTCCTCTTCTGCAGCGCCCCCTGTGAGGAAGGCAAAAAATGTTTTTGTTACTCAAAGTGTGGACTAGATGGAGTATCATTTGGGAGCTTGTTAGAAAGTGGAATTAAGTGCTTACTCTTTTACTACTCAGTGTGAAGATTCTGGCTAATTATTGTGCACATTCAGGGAGAGACTGATAAATGATTCAGCAATTGTAATGTTTGTGCCATGAGCCAGCTGCCTTTGTTGTCCATGTTCATCTGCCTTTCCCTCCTTCCTCAGGGTCAGAATGCCATATTCCAGACTGTCCTCTGCTTTGGAGAGGTGCATCTGCATTATGGGAGTAACCAACTAATATGTGATTTGACACTCCAGGAGATAGAATCCATACATGACACTGCTTGAATGAGTAGAACCTAAGACCAGATAGCCTAGGGACCTAGGGCAAAACCAATTACTATTTTTGCAAAAAATTAATAAATAATACTTAACTATTAAAATGTAGCAAAAAATGATTCCTATTGATACTCTGCTACAGTCATAGATCATACCTGGTCCAGCCATCATCAAAGAAGGGAGCCAATGCAGAGACCCACAACCAGACATTAAATAGAGGTTGTTTCATGGGAAATCAAATAGTAGTATTCTAGTCCTAGATCAGGGCCTTGTGGGAGACCCACCATCTCTCTTCTGCATCCACAGGTCATTATTTACATAATGAGGATGACAGGGATACATAAGCCATCTTCATGTGTGTTAGAACAAGAGAAAGGTTGGGGACTGCCCACTGTATCTAAGTTCTGCCATTGAGTGCCAGGAAAGTAGCATCAGGGGAAAAGGAAAAGCTTGCTGAAAGCCCCTCAACCAAGACTAGGTCTCACTTCTTCTGACTCCCAGATCACACCCAATATAGAGACAATACCTTTTAAAAATGGAGCCCCAAATACAGAGAAGATTTCATCACCATGGTCTCCTATCATTGTCTTGGGTCTCTTTTCAGATACAAAGCTTGGTCGATATTGAAACTCATACATGTAGGTAGGAACTCCTGCATCTGAGGAGACAGATTCATGCACAGTTCAAGTTAGTAGATAGACACCTGGGTGGCACTGAGGTCTCCAGCCCTGAAGAAAAAAGCTGGTTCTTAGTGCAGTTCAGTGAATGCTTTTGGTTTGTACAGCTGTTTGAAGTAGACCTGGGATCTAATCCAGGTGTTGATAGAATGCAGAATGAGAGGGTTTAATTCAGGTAGTGAGTGCTTGGGTGTGTTCAGTGACAATACACAGTGCCTGAGTATTCTGGAAAAATCAGCACCCAGTCAGCCTTTTTTGTACATTCCCAGTGTTTTCCTCAATCATTCAGCAGAACCATGCAAATCCAGTTGCTTGTTGGAATAGGAGGGTATTTAATATAATCACATACAAATGTATACAAAGACAGAAATATACCTTTGGTTTTAAGAAAAGCCCTAAACTTGGAATTCATACTTCAGTCACATTCATTACCTTGTTTCTTGCTTGACCTGGAAGAGCAAAGGTCTTAAGATATTACAGTGGGGTTCAAAAAGTCACACTCCGAAGGCAAACATGCCCATCTCCTCTACCATCTCCACTCACCAGAAAAATGCCCATTCAAGCCTGAAGAAGAGACCCTTTCTCATGTTGGGTGCATCATTGGAGCTGCCTGATTTTACATAGATACCACTCACTTGTATGAGCCACCAGACTGGGGAGACTACCACTATCCAGTGGTCCTTGTAGGGTATAGATATCCACAGAAGAGTGATTAAGAGGGCAACTGTGAGACCACAAATTAAACTAGAGGAGAAATTATTCAACAATTCTCCATGAAAGGAAAGGGTTAAGCCTTGCACTCACACCTGCACCACTCAGAGAAAGCCTATCCACATTTTGGCTCATATGATTTTATTTATATGAAATTGGAATAATATTGTGCATGCTACTTTAAAACACTGGTATCTGTATTTTGTAGTATTATATATCTGTGCAATTTCAGTTATTCCAACATGAATATGAAGAATGATTTATTTCATCATCTCTCACAGGCCCATGCTTGCAACCTTAGAATTGATCCTTCTTCGCCTCTAAAATCCACTAACTCAAAAGATGCCCATGTGTCAAGCATATTCATGTTAGCTTTAATGATCAACTTGACATACCCAAAGTCACCTGAAAAGAGAATCTCAATTGGGAGATGGCCCAAATTACATTGTCCTGTGAGCAGGTCTGTGGGGAATTTTTCTTGATTATTAACTGCTCCAGCCTACCATGGGGAGCATGGTCCTTAGGCAGGTGGTCCTGAGCTATATAAGAAAGGTAGTTAAGCATGAGCAAGGAAGCCAGTAAACTCCCCCTCCATCATCTCTTCTTCATGTTTCCATCTGAGTTCCAGCTTTGACTTCCCTTAAAGATGCAGCAGCACATGGACTTAGAAGGCAAATAAATTCTTTCTTTCCCTACATAGCTTTTGGTTGGATTTATCACAGATACAGAAGAAACCTGGAGCACAGAGCGTGGTGAAGGAGTGTTTGCACTTGCTCTAACACTCGTTTAATCAAAGAACCCAGACTGTAATTATGGAACAAGGAACTTTCCTGAATGAAAGAGCATTTTCAGTCAGGTTGCTGTCAAGGTATTTTTAGAAATGTTTTCTTAAACCAGGAACATTTATAAAATTCCTGTAATTACATGTCTTGAAAGTAAGTAGGGCATACTTTCAGGCAAATGTAAGAACAACCAAGAAAATAGACACAGTGGTTTACCATTAACAGACTAGATATTTATCTGATGAGAGTAGCTGAGGCAAGTACCTGGCACAAAGCCCATTTCAAAAAGTTCTGGCAAACATGCTTCTTATTTGGGGTTGGTGTTCATGAGCTGCAGAGGACTCCAGTCAAATTCAACCAGATGAAAACAATCAAACCATCAAAAATCCAAGACAAAGGAAGTAATCAGGAGCATCAAGGGATAACTTATATAAAGATGTGTGGTGCCACTGAAAAAATCCTGCAAGCAGGGGAGGGCAGGTCGATTTATTCATTAGCCACTATGTAGAACAGTGTACTAAGATGCCTTTCAGAAATGAGGGAGAAATAACACTCCTCCCCTCTAAAGAAGCTCTTGGAGCTCATTGTCTCTGCAGCTGCCTTGTGAGAATTTGATAGAGTCCTTTAAACTGAAAGCTAAATATGCTAATTAACAACATGGAAGTCAGTGATGTAAACTTGTGAAGCCATGTTCAGGCCACTGTTGGACTGTAATCGTAATAGGTAGGGGATTTTATCCCACATAGTACTAGATTCTGTACAAAAACACTGCTAACAACTAACAGTAAGATAGTCATTCAAAATGACATGAATTCTGGCAGCAAAATGAAAAATGTAAAAAGTGGGGCTGCAGAGATGGATGCCTCAGTGGTTAAGAGAACTGAATGGTCTTACAGAAGACCTGGGTTCACAGCCCAACATCCACATCGGGGTTCATAACTCAAGGTCCAGGTACTCATGCCCTCTTCTGGCCTATGTGGGCACCAGGTGCACAAAGTTCACAGACATACACAGGCAATTAAACCACACACATAATATAAAAACAGTAAATTTTATAAAAAGGTCAAATGTAGATAAAATGGTAGAGTTGTTATAGGAAATCAAAGTTATATTGTTATCAACTTAAAGTAGGTTTCATAGGCACAGGGCATCACTGTAAGTGATTCTCATGGTAGCCACAATGTGAAATTTCTTAGCAAAGCACACAATCAAAATAAAGACTCAAAGCATGTAAGTCCAAATACCATCCAATCACCTGCATGGGGCCAAGAGGGTGAGGCTAAAAGAGAGTATTTAAAAAAGTGGTCAGAAAAAAACTCAAGAGAATGGCTTTAATAAGTCTTTGCCTGTCAATAATTCCCTCCAATATACATTCTCTAGTAATGGTGTATGTAGTGACTGAATGGTTTTTTAAAAGATCTGAGATTCTGCAGTCTTAAAACTACCCCCACCAACTTTTTTTAAGACCTATGCAGACTGCCTGTGAAGGGAAATTACATATTATGCACAAATAGGAACCAGGGCTGAAAGAGCAAATTATAGTTACTTCATAAATGGAGTTTAAGTAAAAAAGTACAAAAAGAAAAAAAAAAGACATTTTCTATTGATGAGAAGTAAGTTCATTAATGGAATATCTACACAGATCTAATGCAATGTACATCAACAGATAAAACAAATATGGAAGTGTCAGGAAGGAGAGAGAGAGAGAGGGGGGAGGGAGGGAGGGAGGGGAGCTTCATGAGACAAGTATTCTATTCTTTTGTTATCCCCAGTGCTTAGCACAGTACTGGCATTTAAGAAACCTTTGTGAAATGGAGGGAGAGAAGGAGGGAGCGAGGGAGGGAGGAAGGGAGGGAGGGAGACATATAGAAATTATAATACCAAAGCAGAGGTGGATTGCAGTACCCCATTTTCTACAATGATCAGGTCACACAGACAGAAAATTCACAATAAAACACTGAACTTGATCAATGGTTTTTGACCAAGAGTCATGAAGGAACTGAAGAATAGTTAGAATCGTTCACAGCTAACCCCAACAAAATGTGTATTCTTTCAAAGCACCCACAGAACAATTGCTGGAATAGAGCACCCATAGGCACAAGCAATTCTTGCTTCATTTAGGAAGAACTATGTGTAGCCTCACACTCTATCTGTCCAGGCCTACGTCATTGACAGACAGTTCTGTGATGGGTAATAACCCAATTCCCACATTCTCTAACCAGGGCTCACCAAGATGGATACAGGAGTAACAGAGACATCAAATATTTTTATACCTCCTTTCCTTACTGTTCTTTCCATTCTCTCTTTTTGGACTTTCTCATCTCGAAGTAGTTCTTTTCACCCAATCCTATTCCTGACCCTGGGTTTTCATTCTTTTTGTTGCTTTATAATAATGTGTTTTGTTTAGCCCAGGCTATCACTGAACTCCCTATGTAGCCAAAGAAGACCTAACCTTCCTTCCCTGCCTCCCAAGTCTGGGATTACAAACATGTACCACTAGGTCTGACTTATATAGTACTCATGATTTAACCAGACCATCCTGTGTTCTAGCCAGGCTTTCTACTAACTGAGCAACATCCTAGCCACATGTACTATGTGTGTGAGTGTGTGTGTGAATGTGTGTGTATCAATGTATATACAGGTATGCACATATATGTATATACACATGTATATACCCAAATACACACATATAAATGAATATACATGTATGCATGTATGTATATGACCGAATGAGAAGTTGCAAAGTCAGAAACTTGTTGTTGAGTCTATGTCCTCTCATTCAACATGTAAGACTCACCTCTGAGGGCACGGGACATGAGAACAGATGGAATACCCATAAATATATCCCCAAACAGGTCCAGGAGAAGGTCTTTCTTTTTGACAGGGTCGTCTGCTTGTCCTAAATACTTCTCAATGACTGCTGGAATCATATTCTTAGAGATGTTCTGAAACAGATCAGAAAGTGACCACTCCCACCTGCTGACAGTTAACTAGACTTCATGGCTCATGAACCACCCAGGCTCTTAGCCAACCAGGTCATTTTACCAGAGAGGATTCTTTAGATCCACTTGCAGTATGTCATTAAGTTTGGATGTCAGGTGCCTGAAAATTATGTTTTCCCATTAGCTGTGGGAGAAAAGATCCTTTTGTGTGACAGCTTGGACACTGTTGTCTAGTAAATACTATCTTCAGCTGTTTCTAGAGGAAATTGCTTTTCTCTGTCTCCTGTGGAGAGAATTAAACCTCCAGCGTCTCTCCATGTTCTTTGGAAGAAAGACATTGTCTATCCTAGCAAATAGCTTTAGAAAAAGTTTTTCCTAGGAAATGGAATGAAAAAGACATGGCTCAGGAGATTTTCTAGTCAGAAAATCCTTTGTTTTAGATTTACAGAACCCAGACTATCTATCCAGTGATCTATTGACAACAGAAGGCAAAGCAGGAAACCACCAGTGTGTAAAGTCCGCAGTGCTCACCTATCTGATTGCCCCCTAACTACTAGGTCTTGGACCTCCAAAACATAAATCTCATGGTCTTTGTTGCACATGGAATCAATATTTTCTAAGTATAAACTCTCCAAATAAATCTTTCTCCTGGCAGTTTGTCCTGGACTCATAGGGGCTTTTGATTGGTGAACAATGATTGTGAGTTTCTTACACTGGGGTGCAAAGTGGAAGAGTAGAAAAGTCAGGAGTGAACCCCTGCCACCACTATTGTTTACAGTCATTGAGTTTGTCTGTAATTAAAGCAAGCCACTGAAGTTTGTTTCCCCCCAAATCGCCATGATTCCCTAGAGCCTTACAAGAACAGAGTGGAACTTCAACAGGAGGGTACTGGCCATTTTCTCATCCATCTTGTCTTCTAAGCCCATCATCTGTTAAAAAAATGGTAAAATATTTGTAAATCACAGTAAAACTGTAGAACTGTAAGACAACCCAAAATGGAGCAATGGAACAAAGATGCTTCTTGTGTTTGTACAGTTTTAACAGCGTGCTCTGCCGTCTCCAAAATCCACACATGGGGCCCCTAGAGACCCCAACACTGCAGGACTCTGACCTGTTTAGGTTTGCACTTAGAGCTCTGGTCTGGTTTCAGCAGGTCTTTAAGGTCTGGTGTCAGCATGTGTTCTAGCACTGAAAGCCACATCCCAGGCTGATACCAGGTCCCTAAGATGCCTTCTTGGAGAGCTCAGCATTGCCAATGGAAAGCTTGGTGGTGAGCAGACAGGAGTCTAAGACCCTGGTCAGTAGTTACTATGGGAAGCTTAAAATTACTTATTTCTCCTCTGCCCCATGTGGTACAAATTCACACTTTGAATGGCTTCATCAGGGACTCTCAATGCAAATTTACTTGGAAAGTTTTAAGCTTCTTTGAAACATAGTTTATCTGGGTGAAAAATCCTTTATCAGAGCAGGGAAGATGCTGGTTGAGCCTGCAGAGTGCATCTAAGAGATCTGTACATTCTCACCATTGGAATGATCCAGCCAAACTCCTTCTTGTTGATGCCCACCATGTAGGGGACAATGTTGAAGCTCTTCTCAGCCAGGATCTCTTCTGGAGTCTTTGGCAGCAACACTCCATCAATCACAGTGGACAAGGAGGGATTTTCCTGGGGAAAATAGAAATACAGTGCTTATGAACACCCTACCCTAGGTTTCCTCCATATGTCCCCTCTTTGCTGGCATGAGAGTTTGCCAAGCATAAAAGCCCTTGTGACTATGGCCACAGAAACCCAGTGTGCTAAGAACGATGGTTAAATCTAGGAATCTTCAAGGTCAGAAATATGAATTGGATTCAAATGTGTCAATGTGATGGTGGTAGGGAATTGTAGAAAATTTCGACTTATTAATGAGGACTACTTAATAATTTTTACTCATTAATGCATCTGTCTATATATATCTAAACCTGGGGGTGCTTTGGCATTTATACTTGGCTTTGAAATATTGAGCTTATCCCTAGAGGTACCTATCTTGATCTTACCCCTACTTTGAGAAATAAAAGATCACAACAAGAACCAAATCCAACAATAGAGAATACCATCTGGGTGTGTTTACTGCCTGGGTGTGAAAGGCTGAGTATTGAGGAGAGCTTGCTCTAGATTCTGACAGGAGGAGCTACCTATCTGAAGGAGGATGACATGCTAACCACACAATGCTGGTCTTCTTGAAGTCTGGAGAGGTATCTTTGCAAAACACTATAATCAACTGAAGAAAAGCAGGAGAAGGGAATAGATCAAGTTGACAGAGGAGTCTGTGCACAGGGCTAATCACAGGAAAGTCACAAAGACCTGCAGTGAAGACTTCCCTGCAGAGTTGGAGAAAGAGGGCCTCATGTTTCCTTATGTGAAACATTTTTTTCTTTACAATTACTAAAATTCCATCGTGTAACAAGCTACATTTTCATTTTCCATTCTTCTGTTGATAAACAGACATGTGATTCTGTTTCTTTGATATTATGAATAGTGAGTCAAAAATGTAGACATGGAGAGGCAGAAAACAGCAAAGTAAATAGTTTGACAATATTTATAATAAAACCTAATTCTTCACAATACTACATAATAATGTATATATTGGTTTAACAGCCTAGGGTCACCTGAGAAGGGAGTTAAAATTGGAGAATTTTCTAGATCGTACTGGATTGCAGGCATGTCTGTGGAGGAATGTTTTGCAACACCATTTCCTGGGAACATGTCCTAAGCTATGAGTAATGTTAGCTAAGTCTGAGCCTTCCTGTGAACCAGCAAGCAGCCTTCCTCCATGGATTCTGCTGTGCTGATTTCCTGGGCGCTTCAGAGATTCTGCCTCGAATTCCCTCAATGATGGACTGGGATCTAGATCTGGAACACAAAGAAACCCTTTCCTCCACCAGATAGCTTTGGCTCCCAGTGTTTAGTCACAGAAACAGAAAGAAAAAAACCAGAAATATATATGGCACCTTCTGGGAACTCAGGGCTCTTTTGTGGGGACTATCACAATGGAGCCAAGGGAATTAATCCTATGAGCAAAGCCAGGTTTTAAAGAAGGGAAATGGTGTGGGCCAACTTGTATTCTCAAGGAGGAATGGAGTGAGAAGTAAGGTAGAGGCAGAAAACTTCCAGAAGACAGTCAGGGCCAGCATGGATCAGCACCTGAGATTCTGAGGAAGACTCTGATACCAGCAACTGTGAGGTCTACGGAAGCAAGTGCTACTGCTGCCTTGAACACTGATAGCTGACTTTGGAGGCCAGGTGCTTTGCCTTTTTGAGTCAGAGAAGCCAGAGGCATCTTTCCCTCTTCTATTTATCTCATGCTCCACAACTTGGGTGTCAATAAGTCCAGTCAGAAACAAATATTCTCACTTCAGCCACAACTCATCACTCCACTGCTCAGTCCCTGATCTGACCTACAAATCCCTACAATGTAATCTCCCTAACCACCTCCTGGACCTTCTCTGCCCCTTGTCTATACAATGCTTCTCTATCTTTTACTCAGTTTTATGGCTTAGACTTGTAATACTGACATTTTGCAGGCTGAGATAGGAGGATAAAAATTTCTATGCTACACAGTAGGACATTGTCTGGAAATAAATGAAATAAAAACAAGACATTAAAAAAGACCAGAGTTCAGAGTCCACTGACCATCTATCTCATGTTGAATTATAATCCAACCTTTTAGCAAAACTGCACCTCTCACTTCCATAACTTTCTCAAGCCTGCTCCTTCCTCACCACCTCCCTCTAAATGTCTCCTGCTACAGATATAGGGAGGCACAGACCTGCCTTGTGTCAATGGTTTATCTCAGCCATGATTCAGCTCTTCTCACACAGAATCTCATTTCTTCCTTATAGGGTCTTCAGAGAATGTCTGTGATCTCCAGGGATGGAGCCCAGGACAAGGCTGTAGATGCTCATAGCTAATGACACCAGACACAGGCCAGTGCTTGGAAGTGACAGGGCAGTAGGATGAGGCTGTGGGCACTGTTCTGTGATTTTCCTGGGTCACAGGTGGAGGGTGGTATTCTCAGAACTGAATGTCTTAGGCTCCTGTCTGTATAACTCCAGTACTGTACTATAAAGACTACTGAGACTATAGCATGTTATCCAGTTTCCTGACAGCAGAACTTTAGTGCAGCCTCCTCCTATCAGGGCATCTTTGTAGTGAGAACTGTAAATGGGAAGACCTGGTCCAAGTTGCATAAAGATGCTGATGGAGAGCACTCCGCAGGGAGTCAGTTAGCCCCACCCATGGTCCATATACCTAGTTTAACAGACACATGATGTCTCTGGGTGCCTTGGGGAAAGCCTTCATTCATAGTTAACTAGTATTTGATGCTGTTAACATGTAACACCAGTAATCCAGGAGAAGTTCCTTACCTCTCCATGATTTCTATTGTCATCCAGCTCAAAAGGATTCTATGAACACAAAGGGAAATGATGGGTTGAGAACCTTTCTCCTATAAAAGCTCCCCCTTTGCCCTGTGTTCTAGAATATCAGTTTCTCACACATGGGTCTTACATGGGGTCCTTGAGTATGGACACAGGGTATAGCAGAATGGAAATCAAAGCATCATAAAGGGGACAGTTCCCGAGATCCAGAGTCAGGGTACCTGAAACTCTGGAGAACATGTTTGTTGCCTATGCCTGTGTTCCTCTGCAACACCATCCCAAATTTGATCTCTGGCAACAATGTTGTTTCTTCAGGAGCAACAAATCAGTGATGTGGAATTGGTAGCCAGGACTGTGTGTTCAAGAGGAGATGGGGCTGGCGTTGGATTTGATGTCAGGGAAGAACCTGTCCCTTTGGCAGAATCTTGCTAGCCTGGTGCCAGAATGTTAGCAACAAGCCTAATCTTCCCTGGGCTACAGAAGGCCTAGCTCTGGAGAATTGTCCCCTCATTAGAAGATATCATTTTTTTCTCTTGTTGCCCTATGTGAAGCTTGTCTGAGAAATGTAATAATATTATTCTCAAAACAACTCTGAATTGAATATCCCTGAAATTTCGGTTTATAATTATGTTTTCAGGAATATGGGATGTGTTATTCAATAAAGAACATGACAAGAATTTTCAAAAAGCAAGTTTGGAAGATTTACATGCAATTCCTCAACATAGAATATACATTATTAGACTTCCTTTTGATATTTAAGGATTTTAATAATATGAAATAAAATTTCCTGTTGAAGAAAGTCATGAGGCTAACACTCTACCTGAGAGCTGAGAAACTGTCCCCTTAGTGTTTATCCAGAAGTACAACAGAATAGATAAAGTTTGGGACCAAGGTCTTAGAATAGAGGCAAGTAGAATGGACACAGGTACCAATTTCAGTGTAACCTCCAAGAGCTCCTTCGCTGTCTTCTCTTGCAGGCAGTGAACCATGACAGCTGATGTGATGGTTTTACAGCCAGAAATTGTAGCAATCAGCTGAAAAAAAATCACAGGCAATATCAGAGTTCACGAGCAATGACTATATCACCCATCTGTGTAGAGAATGGATTGTAGCCTGTACCCAAGAGTAATAACTATGTCCTTCATCAATGTGGAAAGTGGAATCTAGCCTGGACCCAAGTATAATGACTATGTCCTTAATCAATGTTGATAGTGGGTTCTATCCTGGACCCGATTTTCTTCTTATTCTGCCATCCTCTTCCTTCTTCTTCTCTTTCCCTCCCCCGACTCCCTCCTTTCTTTTTTCTTTTCATTCACCCTTATTTGTTGGTTTGTTTTTGTGATAGAGTTTCACTAAGCATCGAAGGCTGGCCTAGGACTTAGAATATAGACCAGGGTGCCCTCAGTCTTGCATCAGTTCTACTAACTAAATCAGCAGTTCTCAACATGTTCATTGTAACACTTTGGTTAAATTTGGAAAAATAAAAATTATACTTCATAACAAATAACTACTTTATGAGTCACAATAGTAGTAAAACTAGAGTTATGAAGTGGCAGTTAAAATAATTTTATGGCTGGGGATCAACACAACATGAAGAACTATCTTAAAGGGTCACTGAATTAGGAGGGTTCGCAGCCTTTGCTCTAAATTTCCAGATGTAGATATCAAATCTCATGGAATATTGCCTCTATTACTAATTGGAAAATGACATGTTCTGGTTACATAATCAATACCTGAACCTTGTTATCTTTCCTTGATTAAATGGGCACAGAGTCCACCCAAAGTGCCATGTACACACACACACACACACACACACACCAATACTCACATGCACAGACAGTACACTTTTTCCAATTTGAATGTCTCCAAAGAGGCAATTTGCAATGAAGGATAAGTTTTTTTGTTTAAAATGCTACCTCTTCCACTCACTAATACTTGGCCTCAAGTGAGCTATAGAATCCCTTCATGTTTCAGTTTCTGGGCAGAATCACAGGGTGTTGCAGTAACACAATTCACATGAAGGATCTTCAGAAATAGCAGGATGTGTCTAATGTGTGAGACAATTAGCAGTCCTTCTGGCCATCAATTCTTACTTTTAGGATTTTTTGAGAACCTAAGCTGCATTCTACAGCAGTGAGGCTAATGAGAATCCAAAGGAAGCTCAGCAAAGGGTGTTGTCCAAGTTGGGACCTACTTCAGTCACAGACTGGGTGTTCTTCTTGACCAGGCCTGTACTGATCACCACACCACTCTCAGAAATGGCTCTGTGGAAGAGGTTCTTGGCCAGAGGAGACAATACCTGGCAGGGGAGAGGAGAGGAGATTTTATGTGCACAAGATGGTGTCCTTGTTAACATCAAATTGAACATGGATCCAGAATCACCCAGAAATAAACATCAAAGCAATGCTGTGAGGGAATTTCTATATCAGATTAATTAAAGTTGGAAGCTGCATCACAATGACAGCATCATTCTTGTGACCTGTAACTAGCAGCCTGCCCATCATCTGGGCCTATGTTTACATGGGGATGCTACCTTACTAGGTCATCAGCCCAAGCCAAAGAAAACAAGGGAGAAAAACAAACTATAGTTAAGTCCCAGATGGCTGGCCAAATCCATAGGGATTGCCTCAGTCTGCATCTCAAACACACCTTTTCAGAGTACTGTGCAGGTTTGTGTGGGTGAATTTTGTTTTACTTGGAAAGATACTACACTTGTTTGACCCCCCCCCCCATGTTAAACAACATGGTTTTGGAGACCTGAGGCCCTCAGTGAGTTGAGCATTGTCATTCATTTCTGTTCTGCATCCTGTCTATGGAGTCCTTGTGACCAGTCACATCAGCTCTTGATGTGGTGACCTCATTGCCATGACAAACTGCCTGCATCCTGAAACTCTGCATCGAAGAAACCATTTTTAGCTTTTTTATTGGGCATTTTTCACAAGAAGGAGAAAAGTAAGTACTACTATGATTCATGAGACACTTGACTTTTAGGGTTTCCTCTACTTTTTCATCTACCTCTTCCACACACTTGGTAACCCTGGTACTCTGTGGGTATGAATGCTTCTCACCTATCCTAGCACAAGAAGCTCTTAGTTTTGACATTCTGCAAGATCATATCAGCAAGATGTGGCTTTAGTTCAGAGGGAGAAATTGAATGGAATGGAAACATACTACATCTACCTATAGGGACAAATCCATACAATTGGAAAGGCAATACCAGTAAAAAGCTTGATAATAACTAACCATACAAACTGTCTGTCTCTCTGTTGTGGAATTATCCTAAGACTAAAGATCATGGAAGCCTGTTGAAATTTCTCAGAAAGCTCATGTAATTTTCTAGTAGTAAAAGTGTAATTAGTTCAAGTTATCACTATCATAGTATTCAATATTTTGGACTCATTCTATTTTTTAACTTTCCAATCTCAGTCTCCCTCCCTCCACTCCTCCTGCTCCCCTTATCCCCTGTCACCTCTGATTTGCTCCTTGGAGAGGTTAATGCAACCCCTAAGAAGTCTACTAAGTCTGTCCCATCATCTCTTTGAGGTAGGACCAAGGCACCTCTCTACCCCCTACTCCTGTGTTGAGGCTGGGCAAGGTATCTCTCCATATAGAATGGGCTCCACTAGGTCATGAGATTCCATCTAACACCAATCAGAATGGCTAAGATCAAAAACGCCAATGATAGCCTATTTTGGAGAGGAAGTGGAGAAAGTAGAACAGTCCTTCTTTGCTGGTGGGTGTGCAAACTCATATAGCCATGTTGGAAATCACTATGGAGATTTCTCAGAAAATTAGAGATCAACCTACCTCAAGACCCTGCAATACCACTGTTGGGCATATACCCAAGGGGGACACATTCACACCACAGGGACATTTGCTCAACTATGTTCATAGCAACATTATTTGTAATAGCCAGATCTTGGGAAACAATCTAGATGCCCCTCAACTGAAGAACGAATAAACAAAATGTGACATATTTACACAATGGAGTACTACTCATCAGTTAGAGACAATAATAGTCTAAAATTCATGCACAAATGGACATAACTAGAAAAAAAACATTCTGAGTGAGGTAATCCAAATTAGGACTCATTCTTACAATGCAGTACTATGCATTACAGAAAGGTGGTAATGGAGAAGAGGGCTTACTATTAAGGAATGTGTTTATGTTATATTATATAGAGTTAAACTGAAAACCATTATAACAGAAGATACAATGATGCATGCATGATGAATAGATAAAAAGCATGATGTATATATCATAAATATATGTATATAAATGTATATACAATTTTAGGAAAAGTCTGAAAAAAATAAATGTGACAAAAGCCAAGCGACAATCCCTGGGTCTGTTGTTATGGATGATTTTATTCTTCATTAGGCATTTTATAGATTTTTTCCATTTACTTAAAAATTCTTCCTCTGAGTATTTAAGTATAAACCCAGTGTTAGTTCCATCACGGAATACCTGCTCAGCTTTGCAGAAGCAAAGCTTTCTTATAGTTCCCAGAATATCCAGTAATTTTGCTCACTGTTCCCTTCTCGGTTCCGTGCACCAGCAAGACACCTCACACACCCAGTGTATGCTCGTGACCCACATCCTCTTCCCTAGTCTTCCCACTGAGTCTTCCATCTCTCTTTCTTCCCTTCTTCACTTCCTCACATCCCTAAGATAGCCTGACCCTGCCTTCTTAAGCTCAGGGGAATCCCAGTCTGACCGTGGGTGTTGGATTTCATTAATGTGCAGATGTGACTTCAACCCAGACAAGGACCCTTGGTCCAACTCATTGCTCCTCTCTTCCAATATGTAGTCTGTACCCATCACTGCATCCCAGGACTTGTACAATGAGACCTAATGCTAAAATTATGAGATAATAGGAAGCTGTCAACCAAGTGAAGAGAGAAGCTGAAGATTTTCATGGCCATGTGACAAAAAATCGAATGGTAAGATTATAAGAGCAAAAGAGAGTTAATTGTGTCTGGAGCTGGCCACTGTCTGATGCTGTGCAATGAATAGAGTCAACCTGAACATAGGTACTGGATGAAAAGTGTTGTGCTTGTTTGGCTGTTTTACAAAAGGTCCCTTCCACAGCCATGTCAAATCTCAGCAAGCGGTCTGGAGCCAAGAGTACTTACAAGAACAGAGACACTTGCACCTCCTGCTGACTCTCCAAAGATGGTCACAGAACCTGGGTTCCCTCCAAAGTTTGCAATGTTATCCTGGACCCAGTGTAGTGCAGCCACCTGGTCCAGATGACCCCAGTTCCCAGGGCTATGTTCATCGCCTGTGCTGCAAGGTAACAGGGTACAATAGGCATAAAGATGCCATGACTGGACCCTAAGGTGCTCAAGGTAGCCTCAGAAGGTTCAGGGAGCTTTTCAGAATCAGGTTTGAAGCTGCATTTTGACATGGAGGATTTACCTGCCAATCATCCCTACAGAATTGCTTTATGTGGGGCTGTACACTCATCTTCTAGCAATTATGTGCTGCACTGAGGATCCATGAAGCATCCAACACTGCAGAAATGACTAGGGAGTATCCCATTACAAGACAGATAAAAACTCTGACTATGCCCAGCTTACACTGGAGAGCTGATCAAGCAGACAAAAAGAGAGCCAGTCTGCTGGCAGAAAAAGGTACCTTGGCCAATGTGGGTCTGTGTTGTTCTGTTTCATTTGGGAAAGTGCTTTAAAGCAATAAAATTGTGAAAGCGGAAGAAAGGACCACATAGGTCCCATCAGCAATTGAAAACGCACATTAGTTAGTAGAAGCAGAAGATGCAGAGACCCATGCCATGGGAACAGATGTGTGAAGGTATGAAGTATCAAATGGAGGTAAAACAGAGATTTTCCAGGATCATCCATATCTTTCCAAGTGGGGACCTCTGTGCAGAGACTTGATATGATGCAGTCATTGTCTCCTAGAACACTGGGGCCACTGGCTGGAAAAGTTATTGCATTAAAACTACAGATTTAAAATCACAAGTCATTATAGGAACTATGCATGTCAGAGACATAGGTCTTTGGGTACTGGAATAGTGAAAGGTATTAGTGGCTCCCCAGTCCAATGCTGGGTTCTAGTTTCTGCAATGGTAGTCAGAACCAGCAGAGAAGGAATCAGGAAAAATGAGGCCAAGTGCAAGATGATTATGTCATCGAGTGTCACCCCCAAGAGGGGTCACTGTAGTGCTCCTAGGACCTTATTTAGTTGCTCAGGGCTGCTTTGTTACAAAAAATAGCAAGTCTGTCTCACAACACTCACTTCCTCCCTTGTCATGAGATCTCTGCATGTAACAATCTGATTTCTATCCTTCTAGTATGTTGCTTCTCAGCCAAGGGCTCTCACTAGTGTTTGACCTAGTACTGACTCTGTGTCTGCAGACTATATTAAATAAATGTGTGTTCTTATATCTACCTAGTCTCAGATACTTGTTTTATTGCTAGAGAAAAAAATAAAGACTAGCAGAGAGGAAAATCTCGTATCTTACCTGAGCAATCCGAAAACACCCAGGCGATATTGAATCATGACCACCACCACGTTTTCATAGGCAGAGAGTGCTAGTCCATCATAGGTTGATGCTCCGCCTACCATCAATCCACCTCCATGAATCCACACCATCACCTGGAAAATAATACAGCCATGCAAGCAGTCCATTTAAGACTTGGAAAGACTGCCAATTTCATCTGAATTCGTAGCCTGAACCTAGGATGTGAATCCAAGTTATTGTACAAACCACATCAGTTCTAAGGATTGCTACAAATGGCTTTCTCTCTTGTTTCCAACTCTCTAAGATGAAGTCAAGGATGTCAGATACTCAGTATGCTCTACATTTCTTCTCATTTCTCTTATCCTTGTAACTCATAGAAGTGAGACTTTCCTGGTATCTATAAAGGGTGTTGTTATCATCCCACAATCACATCAATTCACAATAGGACCTTTCAGGCAACTGAACATGAACAAGGGGCAGACATTTTATTTCAGATCAATTTCATCCCAGTTAACGCCTCAGTGGTGAATTAAACCTCTCAATAGTAATGACTGTCTGGTGAGACACCCACTCCCCTAATGCCGCCCCTTCGTAGTGTGCTTCTTCGGCAACCTGAAATCCTCCTAATATTGTAAGCCCAGTTCACATCCACTTCATTTAAGAAGTCTTTGGTCATTTTGGCTAACATTATCTCTGAATCTAAAGAGTACCAAGTACTTTGATGAGTCTTGAGAAGAAGTGATACAATAACTCATAATCTGTATTCTTTGATTTAAATAGCATTCAGATCAGAGATCATATGAGGGTGTGTAAAATCATATAGTGTTAATACTATTCAATAAAGAAAAATCTCATGGGTAATGAACCCAGAAATGATCTATGCACCATAAATCACCTCGTCTTTGGCAAGGTTTAATACTCTCCTGTGTGACAGATAAGAAACAGAGGAGAAAGTTTTTCTGCTGAAAAACTACAGCCAACAAGAGAAGGAAGATGGGCTTGATCCTGATGCTATTTCCCAGCACCCAGATGCTGAACTTCTCAACCCTTGCAGCCCATGACCACAGTGCAGTGAGCCAGCTGTTGGGTCAGGGGGCAGACCCTCCTGCAGGTCTGCCTAGTGTGTCAGCATGGCTGTGTGCACTCAGGAAGCCTGTGATGCAAATCATTGAGATTTCACATGACAATTCCCAAGTGAGGAAGCAAGCTGAGGTTAAGGTAAGTTTCTGCTCTCTCATCCATTCAAAGGAAGATCCAGGATTTATACTCAGACTTGTGGCTCTAGAACCTGTGTCCACAGCTAGTGGGTCTGCTGTTACCATGATCACAAGTCCCCATTTCCTACCATGGGATTTCTGCTACCTCTAAGAGAGATGGAATCCTGGATATCTAAGAGCAAAGGCTGAGTTCAAGGTGGTGGGCAATGATGTCTTGAAAAGGTTATCATATATATATTTAGAGAACTTGGAATGGCCCTTGAAAGCATAGCTGAGTGAGAATGGCTTAAAGTTTTCTTTTCTCTGACCCCAAGTTTGACTCTATATACATGAAACTCTTGGTCTTAGTGGGGTTTCTGCCTGGCCTACTAAGAGTCTACCACTCCCTATTCCAGCGTTTGCTTTTGGCCTCCTGATAATGTGTCTCAAAAATCCAAAGTTTAGTGGAATTGGTAGCAATTGCTGTTTCCTCCCAGAATGTCTTGAACAGAGATGCAAGTTCTTCTAGTGCAAAAGCTATTTACGACTCAGATCAGTCATGGGTATCTATTGCTATCCCCACTTTACTGATGAGGAATTAGAGGTATAGGAATATTTTCAGCCAATCCAAGGACAAATGGAAGATCATATTATATAGATAGTCCCAAAATTCTGGGTCATTTTCAATAAGAACACAGGAAATGGCTTCCTGCCGGGATGCATACTCTGTAGATATTTTAAAGAATTGAGGTCACTGAGACGTTCCCCTCTCTCTATGTGACTGCTAGTACAGGTAACACCAAATCTTAGTATATGAATCTACAATTTCTCCCCTATTCCTGGATTTCATGCAGAGAGTGTCTCTGCAATCCAGGGACAATCTTTTCCAGGAAACTCTTCCCCAAGCTTGTGACCTGTACCTGGCTGCCTGCTCCACTCTTGAACTGTGTTTCCATGTGAAATGCTGACTCACTTGGTCATTAGAGTGTGCCAAAGGCAGCTAGACATGGAAATGATCTAAAGTAAAACCCCAGGGTTCTGTCTATAGACAGGAAACATTTTTTAATGAGATTTTCCCAGCATCCTCTCTCCCTACTTCATGGAACAGTGCAAATTTTCATCTGGCAATGAAAGCTGTCACAGATTACCTGGTAATAAACTATCACACATCTCCATTCAGACCTTCATATAAGAGCATACATATGAAAACCAGGAGACTAAGTCTTGTGAGCATCCCTTCCTTGTACTCGTTTTTCCCCATCCATACCTCAGTTTCTCTACCTGCATCATGGTGTGTTGCACATTTTTTCCTAAGATTTTTTTCAGCAGTGACTATTTTGAAAATCATGACTTATCTCTCATGAGCATAATTCTCTCCTAAGTAAGATCAGCAACTTTTTCTTTTGTCCTGTGATTACTTGGGTAATTACATGTCAGCATTATTGTGATCTCTACCAATATCTGACATCGTTGGAAACACACAAGTGAATATTGAAAGAAGCTCTAGTTCCTGAATCACTCCCAGCCTATATTCTCAGACTGAAAATGTGGAACAATGGTCCAGGCACTTACTGGCAATCGGCTGCTTTTTGTCAAATCGGCAGGGGTGTATATATTCAGGTAGAGACAGTCTTCAGAAAACTGTAGAGGGATGCTCTCCTTTCTGTTGGTGAAAAGCTCTGAGAGCACCTGTCCTCCAACTGCATCCTGAGAACACCTAGGAGGGAAGATGACATCTGAGAATCTACCAGACAGACTGAGCATGTCATCTGGGTCCTGCCATGCAATGAGAGATTTGAGCCTACAAAAGAAGTTTCTGTTACTTTACTGGAACCATCTTCATGGGCAAGAGTTGACAACATGTTAATCTAGGGTCTCTCAGTCCTACGAAGGGAGATGTATTTTGTACAGATCTTTTTCCTGGAGTTTTTAGGATGCTCTGGACAAAGGAGAAAGGTGAACTGCCCCAGGAGATGTTGCTTCCTAGCATGCCTGGACAGAGCTTTGTCCTTCTGGGCTTTTTCATGTGGTCTGTTGTTGACCATGCTCCTGTACCAGGTTAGCATAGTGTAATTCTCCAAAGATGTCCACCAGCCATGAGAGGTAGCTACAATGACTGGCAGGTTGTTGAAGGTGGAAGTTGGGGAGATTATCTTTGTGGGAGAACCTCAGGGGAACTAAATTCTAGTCCTTTCCTAGACATGATGTGCTGAGTGGTTTACGATGCTCTGGACCAAGCTCCCTGGTCTAGATGGGGTGAATAAATTCTCTAAAGTTCTTTCTGCCTAGTCTGCCAAGTTTCAATGCTCTTCTATTGCAAAAATCACTATTGGCTTCTTGACAAAAGGGTCTTAAAAGTATAATGTAGTGTGCTTTCAGTAATAATTACTGACTCTTCACAGTGTTGTCAAGTTTTCCTTGAGTTTGAAGCCATTTAAGAGTCAGTTCAGTGCCAGTTATCTATTATTACTACTTTTAAAAATTCTTTTTACTGTCGTTTTTGTCAGTATTCCTAAATATTTTTATGTACAGGTGCAGAATTGGAGGCACAGAGAGTATTTGCAAATGTCACCAGGACACAAAGCCACAAGATCTTGTTAGTTAGTGCTTCTACTTAAGTTGATAGTCAGCAACATGTTGGTTTCTTTTGTAATGAGAAGGCTGGATGTTCCTGTCCATGTAGTGTAGAGTTAAGTTGTGCATGTTGGTTTCTTTTGTAATGAGAAGGCTGGATGTTCCTGTCCGTGTAGTGCAGAGTTAAGTTGTGCATGTCACGCAAACTGCAGAAGTAGAACAGCAGATTCGCCTGAATCTCCATCCTGGGTAATCTTCCCCACATCAGTGAGAGCAAGTAAACTATATTCATAAAAATATAAGTAGAAATGTCAGATGTGGATACAAGAAATTGATTTCAGGAATATTTAGAGAAAAATGTAGTATAGAGACTAAGATTCATTTTATTAACATTATGATCTCAGTTTGTTTAGACAATGCATACAACAAAAATTCTCCAAGTAAACCACAGTGCAGGTAAGGGCCCAGGGACAGAGGTTTCCATGTTTCCATTGGCAAATTGTGTAGAATCTTGGTTTTGGAGACAAATGTACCTAAAGTGTATGTATTTGACTCAGGAATGTTATCTTTGAAAACTTATCTAAAAATGTTTATGATTGTGTATAATGATGTAGTTAACGAGAATCCATCAACATTTTATTCATCCTCGAGAAAAGCAAAGTACCTTAATGAAGTTTGGTAGAAGATAGGGGTAAATAAATAATACTTTAGTACCCAGTGAAGCACAACTAATAAACCCTCAGCTGCTATATATATGGTCTGCAAGATGCTGATGTTTATGGATGTGTCAGGCTGTCACCTCAGCGCTCTGTATTTGTGATCTCCATTTAAAGCAGGGCATAAACACAGACAAAAGAATGGAAATCACAATCTCAACTGCTAGTAGAATTCTCACTAAGTACTATTGTTAAATAGTACATGATTTTCACTTTTGTTCACTTCTGTGTATCTCCCCTTTGCCTTATAACCTTTGCCTCTAATTTGTAAACATAATGCAAACACAGCAATTTTTTGTAGAAGTAAAACATGGAATGATAAGTAGGATGGAGGAGTGGGATTCTGGAAATCCTCAAGTAACCTGGCTGAGGACCCAAATGTTGTGTGAACTGATTTTAGGTGTTTGATGTACTCTAGGGTGGTTGTGAGGCTATCTGGAATTCTTGGGCCTTTTCACTCAATTACAAGGTTGATGTGACACACCTTTGGTAGTCACTTAGCTTTTGATTAGGTAGAAAGGTAAACCTGGGTGTGAGCAGTTACATTGACCGTTCTCCTTGACCACAAGCCCATACCTACCCCATTCCTAAGCAATGGCAAGTTTCAAATTAGGAGAATATAGCATCTTCTAGTCTCCCTCATCTGATCAATTACTGTTTTCCAAAGCATTTATTTAGTGTATTCTAATATATTATATACTTGATGTACTAACCCACAGGTTCCTCATTTTCTCTTTCCCCCAGTAAGATAAAAGTTATGAAGGTATGGATGCTTTTCTTCCCAATGGTTTCTGAAAATCCAGAACATTCCTGGTTCATCACAGCTTATCAGTAAGTTTGTGCCAAATAAAGGACTTGGGAATCTGTGAACGTAACTAGACCATTATTGAGGATCCACAGTGTTCTTAGGGGTACCAGTAATTCCTATTAACCCAGCTAGTAGGAAGACAGCTTTAAATTCACCCTGTATCACCCTGAGGTAAACATCCCAAGTGAAACGGGCCCTACCCTAGTGACTTACATAGGTGGGTAGGAGGTGGCATTCTTCACAAAGTTCCAGGGCTCTGGAGACTGTGGTGGAACAAACCTCAGGGAACCAAGGGGAGGCTTGGCAAAGGGGACTCCCAGAAAGACGGCCACAGGCTGTGTGAATCCTTCTAAGCTTACATACTTCCCCAGGACTTTGCCATGAACAGTGTCCACCACTGGAGGTGAGGGTGGGTGTCCTGCTGAACAAGAAATATGAGGACCCATCAGAGTAGAGAGACAATACCTGGATTCATGGTTGATTTTGTCACTTTTATATTTTTGTCATTGAAACATCCAAGTTCTCATTTCTTTCTTACATGATACTATGATACAGACAAATATCTTTGTCTACGAGGGCTACCTGAAAAGTCAACTGATTGGAGGCATAAAACTATCCAGTCTAAGCCACTATAGAAAGAGGGTTAAGACACTGTTCTGTGCTTGGCCTGCATACATCTTCACCCACTTTGTCCAGGAAGAAATTTCCAAACAAACTACCCAATGTGTGTAATCCAGAAGAACTTACCCCAAACTGTGCAAACAGCAAGAGAAGCCCAGAGCAGAGCCCGGAGCCACATGGTGGAAGGACAAGAGCTTTGGAGGCAGGGAGGTGCCTGCTGCTCAGAGAGAACGTGTTGTTCCTGCTGCTTTGCTGTAGCCCTACCTCCAGACCATCTAACACAGTTACATAAATCTCCCCCTCCTCCAATGAGCATCCTGGGTGTGTGTTAGGATTTCCAAGCCACTCCCACTAAGAATTTACCCTTCTTTATCTGAAAGACAGGCCTGGACTCTCACATTACAGATAGCCAGGAACTCACCAACAACCTCTTATGTAAGCATTTCTAACTGGAACACTCCCACTCCAGTGCACCTTGAACTTCTCAGGCAGTCACCAGCAAGCAGATGCCTGCAGGCAGTGAGAAGCCTTGGCTTAGGATTCTCACTACAAACCTGAGAATTTAGGCCAGTTCACTTCCCCAGAGTTGCTCAGCTGGAGAGTTAGCTCAATCCCAGCTACATTGCACTGCTATTTCCTAGAAGCTATGCTTTCCAGTGTGGAAGGTGTCTAATCTCACTCTGAAGGAAGAGCCAGTTTGCAGGGAATAGGAGTCCCTGATGGCAGAACATAAGCATTGCGTCAAGTGGCAGCTAGCATGGTTGGGACAGCTGTGAGCTCATATCCTGGAGTGAAAGCTGCAAGCAGAGAAATGATGAGAGTCTTCCAGCTCTCAAAGCCTCCTTCTAGTGATACATGCATGTGTCTCCTCTATGAAGCTACATTTCCTAAATATCTCCAAATAGCTCCACCAACTGGGGATCAGGCCTTCAAATGATGGATAATTTGGGGAACATTTTTCACTCAAACCATTACAATGTTCTCATAGTAAATAAACACTATGGACCATAATCTTTTGCTCTAATCATACATCCACGCATTATTTTGTGGAATCTTTCTTTCTTTGAGTTATTATTTGTTTTTATTTTATGTGCAAGAGTGCTTGCCTGCCTTTATGTCTCTGTACCATTTGCATGTAACACCCACAGAGACCAGAAGAGGGCATCAGGACACCTGGCAATGGAGTTAGTGTTTGTGACACAACATGTGGATTATGGAAACTGAGTAACAGTCCTTTAGAAAAGTAGCAATTACTCTTAAATGCTGAGTCAACTCTCCAGGCATTGTGTATGAATTCCTTAAAATTTCTGAAATGCTTGGTAATTATATAAGAGGATTGTATCCAAGTTGGGGAAAGAGAGACAAGGAGAGAGAGAGAGAGAGAGAGAGAGAGAGAGAGAGAGAATATGTAGTTTCTTTTCAGTTTGATTTCTGATTTAATATCAAAGCCTTATTTCTGTTTCTCATCTGCAGGTCCCAGGAGACTTTGAGAGAAGCATGTGTCTGTACTACAGTGTTGTCCTCTGCTGGACACTTGTACATTTTGTGGAGAACAGCGGTGTGATTATAAAGCTTTGCCTTGACTTTATTTAAGGAGTTACAACAAACATCTTTTCAGGGCAGGGGAAAAGGTAGTTTTGGTTGGAGAGTAGTAGTATCTGGAGTGGGGACAAGAATGGTAAAAAAGTAATAATTTAAAAAAGAGAAAGAATTAAATTGCATGGGATGGAGAGATTGGCCCAGTGGTTAATAGCCAGAGCCCTGCTCATATTGCTCAAGTTCTATTCCCAGTATCCATGTTAGGAAATTCACAACTACATATTACTCTAGATCCATGGAATCTGACACCCTCTTTTTTACAAACACACGTGCATACACACACACACACACACACACACACACACACACACACACACTCATGTAAAAAAATCTTTAGAAAGTCAAATTGTTTATTTTACAAGAGGAACATGACAACACATTTTATATTTTACAGTGACTGCAAAGCAGAGGTGAGTGCAAGAGAGGACATTTGCATACCAGGGAGTCTGAGTGCTGTGGCTCTTTAGGAAAGTTGATGAAAGAAAATGGTGGCCAAAATCTCCCTTTAATCTCTCACCACAGCATCAAGTAGTTCAGGTGTTCATGCACAAAACTTAACTCTTGTTAAGGAAACTCCCTGAGTTAAGAGTTAAGGAAACTCAGGGAGCACAGCAGAGATACTTGCTTTTAGTATATGAAAAATGTCTCTGAAGAAGGCAGGTAGGGGGTATGCAACCAAGCCAAAGCACCCCAGAGTCCAGAGAGGCACCCTCCACCCAAGAAGGGAGAGATATTTAAATCCAGCTCTTCAACTTGAAAAATGTGCTTTTTCAACCTAGAGAATGCAGACACCTAGGAAGAGGATTGGCATAAATTTTGTAAACCTGAAGGCATTGACTGAGACCACCCTAGTGTGAACCAGGGACAGGGCTATCTTCAGACAAACAGAAGTGAGAGACTATGTGTCCACCAAAGTTATGATTTAAAACTTTCTAAAGGAAAACTTCAACCTGAAATAAAGGTATGTTAAGGAGTTAGAAGAAAACATATATATAGTCAGAAATAAATGTGATGGCTTAGAAATTATTATACAAACAAACACAAATGTTCTTTTTTTTTCAAAGTACCTGATTTTTAATAATTTCTTGACATGGTAAAAGAGTTTTACATTACAATCCAAGGGTGGTAGGGTGCGGAGGGGCAGTGGAACAATCAAACAAAAAGGGAAGCTAAGAAACACATGGCGGGAGGAGGGAAGGGGTTCAGCTGGAAGGGATCTGATGGGTGGGTAGGAGTACTGCCCAACTGAAATGCAATTGGTTTGTTGCTGAGCACTATTCATGGGAAGAGAGCATCCTGACTCCTTTTCTATAGAATATTGGGAGTGAAAATGATGCATCCTAGTTGGAGTATGATTGGGAGTTGGAAGACAGAGAGGAATAAAAGCCAAATAGACACTGAGAGTCACTGGCAGGTTAACTGCAGACACCAACTCTCATTTAAAAAGCTGGGGGTTGATGGGGTTAACACAAAAGCTATAACAAGTGATATCTCTGCAAGATTCAAAAGAGGAGGCAACTCTTCTATGAGTTTGACCTTTGAAGCATATTTATATACATATACATGCACACACGAATACACACGCACGTTTTTTTTTTTGTGTGTGTGTGTGTGTGTGTGTGGACAGACACATATACACATGAATTACTGCTTTCCCTGGAAGCACAATACTATAAATATGAGAAATATTTCCCAAAGGGAAAGCACAGTGAGGAGTTGCAGCCTCTGGACCTCACAGTTGCCCACACCCTATCCAATACACAAACTGGTCTGGGAGAAGGGCAAGTGCGGACCAGAGCGCCAGTGTTTGCATAACACCAAAAAACCTGAGCCACAGAGGGAAGGCCTTCATGAGCCCTCTGCACCTCGGCTCTTGGTTCTCCTTCAACTTACCCTGGGCACCAACAGCTACGTTATCAGAAGAGAGGGTGGGCCTGGGACTTACCTGGGTGGATGACTAAGACAACTGTCACATGCTGAGGTGTTGCATGTGTGACGGGCTGAGGAGGCAGGGGTGCAGGAAGGAAGGCTATGTTCTATGATGGAGAAGGAAGCATGTATGCATGTCCTTATGCATGTGTACATGTGTACACATGTATATGTGAAAACCCCAGTTATAAAAACATCCAAAGGAGCTCTAGGGGTGCAGCTGAAGGCCTTAGATATCCCTCGTCATGGTCAGGCTCAAAGTGGAATAGGACAGGTGGAGAACCCTAAGGCATCACTGTTACCATAAATCTTTCTGCCACCTGCTTGAGTTCTGGCTGCCACGTGGATGGACAAAATAATACAGAGACTTATATTAAGTACAAATGTTGCTTGGCCAATGACTAGGATTTATCATCTGCTAACTCAGTCTTAATTATCATAAATCTATATATTTTATAAGACTTATCAGATGCCTTCTGTTGGCGTCCTCATCCCCAGGATCACATGGTGGCTCTGAGCAGAGAGCAGGAGGAAGAGTGAAAGGGAAAAGGAACCACTTCCTGCTTGTCCTTGTCCTTGCTTGAATATGAGTCTCCCTGCTATGTCACTTCCTGCCTGGATCATCACTTCTTTACTACATTTCCCAGAATCCTCCTTGACTCCTAGTCCCATCTTACTTGCTGCCTCATTGGCCAAACAGTACTTTATTCAACAACCAATAAGATGAACATACACAGAAGTGCATTCCCATCACATCACCAGGGCAGCTGTGGTAGGGAGGACATAAAGTCCCACACATAAGCAAGAGACACTGGCCTTATGACAGGAAGATGTCACTTTAACTTCACTCCCCCAGTTCCTAAAATACGCTTTCCCTATTGTTCCTCCAGCTTCTAACCAACTAATTGAAAGGAAGAAAACACAAAACTTAAAACAAGAGGAGGATGGAGGGAAGGGAAGAAAAAATAACCCCCAGATATTCTTGTGCCATATCCTGCACAAGCCTGGAGTTCTCCAGAAATTAAGACAGGCTGGGAATGGGGCTTGGGGAAGGAGATAGAAGAGTTCCTGAGGCCTGAAAAGAGGTAAACACATCACAGAACTAGATGAGAGTTTCATTAGACTCTAACTAAAAACAGAGAGGTGTGATCACTATGTCTAGCCAGTTTCTCCATCATGATAATCATGTAACAAACCAAGGCAATGTCGGTCTTGAGCCAGACTCACAGAGTCCCCTGGTCCTGGAACTGGACCTGGCCTCAGTACAGTGCCTCTGCATTGCTGTTCCAGGGCCGTTTGATTTTCTCAATATTCTTCAGGATCATGTCATGTAGGGTGACATACTGATTCCTCAGCTCTGAGATGATGAGACGGAGGCTGATGTATTCTTTCTCATCAATCTCTGTGATGGGGTGGCGATATTTAGCTATTTTAGAAACCAATTTGGCTCTTCTAATATAATATCTAGAAATCTGGTCCAGCTAAGATACAGCTTCACTCTCGACAGTTCTTAGTTCTGCAACTGTTTCCTCCTGAATAGACACCCCGAAGTTGTTCCCATCTTTTATTCTGGGAATCAAGAGCTGTACCCACATTTTGACCGTATTTCATTTCTCGATCAGCAGCTGAATCTCGGGTTTTACATTCTCA